TCACACTTTTACTGAATCCGAGCAGATTACTTTTGAGCTGTTAATGAGGGAAGCGGGAAAACCAGAGGCAGAGAGGCATGCACGCACTATTAGATGTACGTCGTAAACACTGGCGGGAGCATGGCAGATAGATTCCACATGCAGACGGGAAATACCTCTAATCACAGCGTACGGGCACTTGAGGCAGGCCTCTGTGACACAGGGGGCACAGTCTGAATTAAAGAGAAAGGTCAGATTATTTTATGGCTGACATTTTACATGCTGCATCATTGATTGAACAGATCAGAAGTCATTAAATGTCATCTCTAATGAAGTCTGCGGTGTATTGATGTAGCAGGGTGGTTATCTTTGGTCACAATGTTCTTTTTCAACATTAAGACAAGATACTGGAATACTGTTGGACATGGATGTGGACATGTTTGAAGACATTTACAGTAAATTCAGATTCAGAGTTGCACTTTAAAGGTGGATTGGAAAAAAACAACACCGAGTTAGACCCCCCTTGAGACATTAATGTTGCTGACCACTCGCTTCTCTAGTTATACCAACTTAAGTAACGACCGGACGATAGCAATACACAGCAGTCTAAGGAGCCATAAACAATCATCAACCAAAACGCCACTCTATAGCCACAAATAATGCTCAGAACAGCACCTAACTTCATCAACAGGACATATAGGGTCCCAGCCATAGTACTAGCCACCAAACATCTTTAGTTTTGACTAATTTCTTTAGCAAAGAGACCAAACACAACTTATCTACTCTCCTCCGGCAGCCGCTTGTTTGTAGAGAGACCTCGGGCCAGTCCATTACAGACTACAGCGGGGTGACGCAGCTCAAGGAAGAACATTTATGATTATTACTTCATCATTTCCTTCTAGTAATAATCACCATATTAATCATTTTGAACTGCAGACGTGGTAGTTCTTCTGCCTTAGCGTTTCCATGGATTTCTATGGAGAAGTGATCATAAATGTTCTTCCTTGAGCTGTGTCACCCCGCTGTAGTCCGTAATGGACATTCCTGAGGTCTCTGACAAACAAGCGGCTGCTGGAAGAGAATAGGTGAGTTGTGTTTGGTCTCTTTGCTAAAGAAATAAGGTAAAGTTAAAAGATATTTGGTGGCTAGTACTATGGCTGGAACCCTATATGTACTGTTGATGAAGTTAGGTGCTGTTCTGAGCATTATTTGTGGCTATAGAGTGGCGTTTTGGTTGAGGTTCGTTTATGGCTCCTCAGACTGCTGTGTATTGGTATTCTGTGGTCGTTTCATACGTTAATATAACTAGAGAAGCAAGTGGTCGCCAACATTCATCTCTTCAGGAGGTGTCTAACTCAGTGTTATGGTGTGTTTGACCCTAAATTAATTTTATGCCGGAATATCCCTTTAAGATGAATATTTGTCCATACTTTGTTTTTCATTTACCATACTTTCTAAGACCTGGAAATTGATCAAATTACTTCCATACTTTTTCATACTTAACAGACTCAACTGCTGCACATACTCAATAACCAAAGTTTTAAATATTATAAACCAAATATTATATTATATTTTAACTATTTTACCAAGTGTCAGTTTGTCTACATTTCTCACTTGACTTTGACTCCTGTTGAAATTCCCTTTAATGGCCTTTGACTCATTGTTCCCATCATCCATGCTTTGTCAGGAGTAAAATATCCCCACAGATGTGACAGTATATCTCCTCCAGGTTAATTACATGCTACCCTTTTGTCATTTATGTGCCGTAATGCCCCCGCTCACCGTAACTGGAGGCTGTTCCTGCCAGGAGCCGTTGGCTGTCATTAGAGCGTCATCTGTTGAAATCGTACACCTGAGTCTTCCAGGATATAAAAAGAGGCAAATGTGCATTATGCTCGTCCCATTTCATGAACACACATCTGTGCTGCTTCATCTCATGGTCTGTGCCCTTGACACAAGTGCATGCACTATTGTGGTTTTGACTTTTGCACACCCACTCACTCTTTCATAAATGTTCCCTCCTGAGATTTCCAATATGGCTGCCTGATTAGCGGTCCTGGGCTGCAAAAGATGACCATTTGTGTGTCCTCCATAGTCAGTTTGGCATATGGTGCTGCAGTAAGTGAGCAAAGAAATAAGGAGAAAGCAATACAGCGGTAAGTGGAGCCGATAGTGTAGTGGGGCAAACACTTTAGCTAGCTGTAGTTGTATGGCTGGTTGTTAATTGTTTGGTAGGTAGCTAGCCGTGTTAGCGGAGTGGGAGACGTTAGCCTGGGGTTCCTGCTTCGTTGACTTCTTGATACCTTGTGTTGACACAACCACATTTTTTTGTGGGGATAGCAGACAGAGAGAAAGTGCGCTTGTAAGGTACAATATTGAAATTTCACCAAAGTAACTAGAAAAATGGTAAGGGAGTGTTTTGGGCTGAACAAACAGGTAACCTAGACAAAAACTTTCACTGTTAATGAAAGTTGTGTCTTAACTAGCCTAACCCCCTTTTTCTACCGCATCCAGAACGGCTATGAAAAGGCTGTATCCACCAGTTGTAGCTGATCAAAAACATTTAAGTTAATGTGTCAATTGTACGTGATTCGCACGTTTTTGTGAGTGTTCGTGATTCCCGCTGTCCATAATCCGCCACGAAATTCACCTCACAAACGGATCCTGTTGGAATTGGCGTACCACGAAAATCGCCACCGTTCCGGATCTGAATCGTTCTAGATGCAGTGGAAATCTTGGGTAACTCTCACACGATTGATGCTTTGAGATTTAGATCTAAATTCAGACAGCGTGCATTCTGCATGAAAAACTATCAGCTTTGAAGCAAAAAACATACTAAAGTAAGTCTCAGACATCAAATCTTAGAACAAAGCTGAGGTGCTGGCTATTATGGTAAAATTTTTGCATTTCATGGTAAATATTTCACATTTCATATTCATTACTCATTTCATATGTATTACTCATTTCAATAGCCCACGCTTTTCATATCTCACTTTTTTCTCTTTGGATCTTTAGTATATTTAGTCTGTATTTATTGTATATATGTAGTATTTTTAGTCTGCATTGTACATACTTTTTCTATCTATCTATCTATCTATCTATCTATCTATCTATCTATCTATCTATCTATCTATCTATCTATCTATCTATCTATCTATCTATCTATAACATACCAGAGCTGTTGGTTTAGATAATCTATATGTTAGACACTTGTCAGAGGGGCCCCTTGAGAGTTTTTGCTCGAGGCCCCAGCACACTCTAGAATCAGCCCTGTATGAATGTAAACATTAAAGACAGATCTGCTAATAAAAAATGAGCCGCCATACTACCTGTTTGGATTCCTCAGATAACCTTTGATGTTTTCTTCGGTTCACTGTTTTGTTCGCCAACATCTTGAGTTGTCTGATACTTGTCAGCATCCTGCAGACAATATTACTGTCGGCTGTTTTTTTTATTAAATAAACAAACATGAGTCAGAATATATTTATTCTCTGGAAATCTCATAGCACTGAATGATGAAAGGCGTGAGGGTGAAGTCCCAAAAAAGTGAGCCATGTGCAGACTGCATTATTCATGCAGGAGTCCCTACACCTCCCCCCTCTCTCTGCACTCACTGAGGAGCTTGTACCTCAGCTGATGAAAGGGCCGGCGATGATGGCGCGCTGCAGTGCCACACTGCAGACGGTTGTGTAATAATCAGAGGGATTCACTGGCTGTCCTCTGCAGCTGCCACCCTGCCCAGCGGAGGGAGAGGTGCCAGCACAGAGGTCCATCAGCCAACTGCTGCTGTGTTTCAAGTGCTCTTTCCTGGAAGGAAGAGTCACCGGGCGAGACCAGAACTGACTGTTCCAGGAAAGCCTGTTTCTGGTAGAGTTATATCATGATGACGATAAAGTCTGTCACTGTTCACCTCAAATGCCGGTTTCATACTTTTATATATGTGACTTTTATTACGTCAGCATGCTTCACAATAATGCTGCAGAAGTGACACTCTTTTGGAGGTGAAAATCAAATTTGAATGCCATCAAATTCAACATCCACCTTTTACATCTTCAACACCTGCGTTAACTTCAGAGATCCTTGTAACCCGGCCTGAGAATAGAAACACTCTCACCGCTGACAGCTTGTCAAGGTGAGTGACATGTGCTGGGATGTAAATTTGGCGCTCTGACTCAGAGGACTGAGGGATTATTTAATATGGGCCGCTCCCAAAAGGAGGAAATCTGTTCACTTTCCATCCGTCCTTTTCTGGACAAGACAGAACTGTTAAAATATCTCAGCATGGCAGGGTCAAACTCATTGACAGGCGATGAAAAGTCAATGTAATGTAAATAATTTATTCTGAGTGGACTCTTTGAATCTGCGAGTCTTCTCTGAATCGAAACTTTGAATTTTTAAAAATGTACTCATTCATCCTTACTCGGGTGTACAGTTCTGACTACACTGGATCTATTACTATTTATTTACAGCAGCATCTCAACAAACCATCTCAAATAAGTAAGCAGGGATTGGTAAAGGGCTCACAATATGATATGCTAAACTGGGAACTCATTAATGTTGTTGATTAGTATTTGAATGTGTGTAGAGATCACGTCACACAGGGCAGGTGGAGATCGCAAATTTCTTGGTCCCCTTCATCAGAAAAAGTCGTCTTACCAAGAAATACCATCACCAACGCCGATATTTACTGAGCAGGTCAGCAGATGTCTGATATATGATGCCGATATTGCATCTTTTTATGCTGCCTTATATTAAAAAACAATCTTATAATACTAACCGCAGTTATTTCATGCACATAAAAATCTAAAAGCCATTGTGGATTTTGAATTAATTCATAAAATTAAAATAAATACATTGGGCTGTGCCATAGGTGTGTGATGCATTATTAAAATCCATTAATCATGACAGAATATAAATAAACCTCTAATGTTGATCTGCTGTCTTTATGCATTAGGGGACAGTAAAGAAGCCTCCTGTCAGCACGATTGAGAATTTCTTTGAATAATAATGATGGAACGAAGAATTTTGATAAATGCAACCATTTTATTGTAAAATTCCACAGCTATGTGCAATTCCCTTATGAAAAGGATTTTTTCCAGTACATGTAGAATATATTATGCAGACCCTAACAGAATGGATCAGTGCCCCTTTATACAATACTCAAATATACATAGATGGCAAACAACTAACATACTGTATGAATTAGGATCAAATTTCTTTTGTTCTGCGATACCTTTTTACTAAGCTCTGTTAGTTTCAGTGTGTATTATTATTCTGTTTTCTGTAGTTTGACAAAATACATAACAATAGAAAATATCTACATGTGCTGTTCACATATAAGTCTCATTTATGGGTCCCAAAATAAACAAGGAATCACTTAGTCAGAAAGAAGTACAGTGGAAGAGAAGTCCATGTCGATGCAAGCAAAAGACCGAAACTGGATGGAACAACGCTTTGAATGAGATCCAATTCCTCGAAAACATCGCCTGCTCGGCTGAAAATATAATCAACATGCACACTACTGAATATACACACGTTTCATTGTCTCCCATACACCTTTGTATTTACAGTAGAGTGCACTCAAAATGTCATTAAACAAACTATAAACAAGCTTTGACCATTATGAAAAAGAAACACCTCAGAGTAGATTTGTTTTTTCGCACCGATATTCAAACACACAAAGAAAGAAAAGAATTAAAAATGAAACTCATGCCCTGTTTGCAGCGTGATGGCTCTGTAAACAAAGTCGGATACAGTCTGAATCGGAAACGTCTCCTAGTTTACCCTGATACTTTAGATTAGTCTTTGTTAGTCTGGCCTACATTTGAGAAGTTGTTCTTCAGCTTTTGTTTTTTTTGTTACGCTAAAAAAACGAGAACATAAGAACTGAACCGATGAGCAACGGAACATCAGCGAACACTCCTCTTCAGCATCTCCTCCAGGAAAAGACTCAAAGTTTCTGTTTGACGATACACGTTGATATCCTCTATTGCATGTGTGTGTGTGTGTGTGTGTGTGTGTGTGTGAGTGTGTCGGTTTGGCACTTTGATAGGATGTAATCACTCTCGGACACTTCGGTAAGCTACTGAACACTGATGATGACCAGTCTACGTCGCTATTGACACACTGACGTCCCTAAAGATGTGAGAGATAAGAGTATGTGCACACTGAGGACAGGTCTGGACAGCTTCAGAACACAACAGGACCACCATTAAATACAAGAGAGGGAAAGAAGTTCAACAAGTATGAGATCGACTGCTAAATGCATACGTCTGCATTCGAGACCAATGTAAACTTGTGGCAGTGTCGCTCAGATGAGCAAATCTTCTTTTTGGTGGCCGCCCTCCCTCTCGCTGGGAACGATTTTTTCTGTATTTTTTCCCCGCCCTGAAAATATTCAAGTCTACTACTCAGAAGCTGCAGAGCGGATAATGTCGCAACTTACTAATTCAACAGATATAACAGTGTGACAGGCCTGTGTGACAGAGAAGTGTATACATTGATCACAACATAGAAAACACAAGATAAATAGGCTCAAGCTCCATTGACACACCAACAAAAATGTATCATTGATATAAGTGACAGCATTCTGTGTTTCTTTTTTTTTTTTAAGGGGCTATATGAACATAAAGTACAGTTTCTTTTTTTCCAGAAAATAAATAAATAAATACCATTAATGAATCAATAAATAAATAAATACCCCGGTAACCCCCAGAGAGTATTCTATATGGTCAGTCCAGCATAATACAAGAAGTCTGACACTGTATGATGATATACTATAACAATGCTGAAAATTACAAAATATAGACCCTTTTACAAAATCTCAAGGGCTCGACAACTGTTTTCTTCCTTTTATAATTTATGTACATAAACAAGAATGTGATTTACATCTATTCCTCGTGAGTTTTACAAACCCCACTGAAGCATGGCCTCCATTCGGTGTCTTTCAGACTACATCTGTAAGGGGCTGTTATTCATGTGTGTCAGATGTTACCATACACCGCATTTACAATTCAGATGCCTCGGCTGTGTTCTCCTTTCTCTCCGCGTGACACAACGGTATTCAGATGTGAACTGAATGGAAAAAAGGGGAAACTTATAAAAAAAAACAAAACAGCAACACTTTACGAGAAGACTACAAAATATGTACTTAATTAAAGCTCCTGTGAGGGACTTTCAGTTTGTACCATTTTTGGCACCCCCCTGTCTTTTCTTATCTCACCCTCCACATGTTTAAACAGCGACTCCTGACATCTCATCCTGTTGACTTTTTTCAGCCAAATGTATTATCCATTATTGTGGATATTTAAAAATGTCAAAAACATGAGTGTGTGTATGTTCAGCTGCTTTGCTGACCCTCCCCCTCTCACTGGCATAAAAACGAAACTATAACATCTTCAGTCTTGCAGCCGTCGGTCATTTGCTTTTGTGTATCAAACATGAGTTTTACTGTATTTCATAAAGTCCACAAAAAACCCCTCACAGAAGCTTTAATTCAAGCATGCATGATGATCATCATGCAGGGATGTGTCATTAAGTCATGTTGCTCACCAGTCATATATGATGCCTAACATAGACCTAACATCTACGATGGACAACTTGTCTCCGCCTTCCGTAGTTATACGAATTTGAAGCCGAATTGCTCTTGGAATTTCTCCACTTCCTGGAACCACCACTTGCTCAGTAGTGTTTTACGCATTCGGCGGAAAAGTCGCAGTGATGACGCTCAATCTTTGTACGCCTATAGGCTGTATCAAGTGTCAATCATAGAAAACATGAAACCCCTGATAAGTTTTAAAAATGGAGCCGTACAGAAAAAAAGAGGACTTGAGCACAAACCAGTCTTACAGTAACTATATGTCAACATCGCGACCAGGGGGGGAGAAAAATGTATATTCTGTGTAATTGATTTCTAAAGTTTGTCCACAGCTTTATAGGGATTGCTAGAGGAGGCAGGATTTATGACCTATACTGCAGCCCGTCACCAGAGGGTGCTGTTCTTAGGTAACCTACATTCATTCACATACACTTAAAGTTTTATTGAGAATTCTATGTTGTTTACTTTTTATTTTTAATATTATAATCCTGCAGTCTTCGTTCAAAAACTATTAAAGGTACAATCCGTACATTTTTTAATGACTGTAAAATCCAGAATTTAAGTTGCATCATATTTGAAACCTCTCTCTGCGCTGTACACTCATATTTATTAACCCTCCCTGTAATCAGAGAGGCTAAATAAATACATGACACTAATATAAACTGATATGTCTGGCTAATGTTATCCATACTGACTAATGTCTGAAGAAATGGCAAATTAAGTGTCCTTAATTAATGATATATTAAAGATGAACTCATTAAATGATGTCAGAGTGACTTCATTAGGATTTAACTGTGAGCAACAAAAATTAATGATTCATCCTGTATATTAATTCATGCATTAAATAATCATGACTTGTGAGTTACTTGTGCATCAATTAAGTATAAAATGTGCACCCTTGCTGAAAAGTGTTACTAAAAAAAATCAATGAATTTCTGCCCAGCTGGTGAATCGATTTCAAACATTCAGTTTCTTCATGAAAGGAAATCTTACTTAAGTGTCAATCGTTTTATGTGTTCATAGTTTTGCATCTTCTTTTTTGTTTTGTTTGGTTGCTCAATGAAACCGAATGACACTTAGAGGAAGAACCCTGGTCTATTGCAGAGATCGCCAAATCCCCTCCAGTTGTCTGTATTGACATTTCCATTACAGAGTAGATTAGTTTGAATTCCTCCACTCAAAGGCAAAATGCAGCTGCGGTTATCCCTCCGTCCGCTAATGTAAAAGGAAAACAAATGAAAAGCTCGCTTTCTTTTTTTTTTTCTTTTTATATTAAGCGCAGCACCCCTGGTAAAAGCTTGCATAACCAAAATACAACAGCAGTTTGTCATTATGTAAATGCTCGCTTTTAACAGCAAGTGGAGGAGGGGGTGAGAGGTCAGTGTTGTCTATACAGTGAGCTAATGTCCGTGAGGAAAATGATTTTAACCAGTCGTCTGGCCTGTTCTTCTCTGTTCCTCCCACTTGTATGCAAAGATGATCCCTTTAACTTAAAAAGATGAACTGGGCACTTTTTCCCCCCCTGATGAATTTTCCAGTTTTCCTAGAAAAAGTAGAATTAAATCCTGAATGATAATCAACAGTGCTCTTTTTTTGTAGTTCCCATAGCCAACAATAGAAGACCATAAAACATGTTGATTTTTGGCCTGAAAGGTGCATGCAATAAATGTAAACCACTATGTAATAGTAAAATATATACAGTGTCTGTACAGGTTAGCATTGTTCATAAACAGCATCATCTCGCTCTCTCTCTCTCTCTGAACACACATAAAAAATGAGTCATTGTGCCGACACCTCGAAGTAAATCAAGATAAATTAGCGTCATCTAAATGAACTGTAATACGACTGTCTAACATAGCTCTCTTAAAGTGCTTCAGATTTAGTGTTTTTAGTGAGTCAAAGAAAGAAAATTAAGTGACCAGACGGAGTTCAGGTCCTTACACACTGGGAACGACGCAAATATAAGACGCGAAAATGTGAGATATTAGTCGGCGAATTTTGACACGCCTGGCTATTCACATCTAGAGCGACAAGATTTTGCGACTTTCCAGGGGGGAAAAAAGACGCGTCCCGGGTGGAAGCATGAAGACAAAAGTGGAGTCTACTTCAACTTAAAGTGATGGTGAATTGGTACCCCTTTTAAAAATAATAAGAGCTACCATATGCCACAGTTACTAGAAACAGAAAACACAACAGCAGAATGACTGTTTTTCAGTTCTGATTAGACACTAGTGTTGAGATAACTGTCTGTCATGATAGCATGTACTGAGTCGAGGCCAGAACCAGATAAGCACATTAATCTATAATTCATAAACGTATGATGATGGATATACCAGTGAATCTGACGTTGCAACAACATGAAATCTGATTGGTCAGAAGTGGACACACAGTATGCGAAACTTTAGAAAATTTGACGTTGATACAAAAAAATAAATGCCGCAATATCGCAGTGCGGGAAAACGTCGCTGATGTGAACGCTTGTGTTGACAGGACACGGGTTCGAAAAAAAATATAGACGACCGAAATAATCACACAAAAAAAACGCTCCCAGTGTGTAAGGACTTTTACTGTCATTGATATTTTTCTGGTAGGTGTGTTTGTTTGTTTGTTTGTTTTTTTTGCGATGATCTGCATTTCAGCTGTCTACTGTGGAGGAATGTGGTTTTTGTCTGATAAGAAAGAAATATGTAAAACCCCTCCCCCTTTTAGAGAAACAGGTAATAAAAAAAAGTTCAAAATCAACTCCTGAAAAACAAAACTAAGACTCTCACACAATCAAAGTTTCCACAACACATCTACAAACCTTCTCATACCAGTTATATATGTAGTGCTACAACATTTGCAGTGTCTGTCATGATTTCGGATGACATGACTGGATATACTGAGAGATTAAAAACCCAAGAGTTAAAAGGAAATGCTTCGAACTAAATCATCTTGTGTTGCAGTGGGTCCCCTCCTTCAGGATGTCTCTTGCTGGCACAGAGCATAATATCGAATGAAATGAACCGTATGATAAGGCTGGATACACACCCAGGCCTAGAGATAGAGATAGGAGACCCAGTAGACCAGGTTGAAGAGACCAAACGCGGTGGGGAAGAAGATGCGTGCGTACGAGTCTATCTTGGCGATGCGGATGTGCAACCTCCCGTGCCGCCAGGCTCCCGAGCGGCAGTCTTCGAAACAGCAGAAGAAGCTGGTGCAGTCCTTCCCGTCCAGACACTCGTAGCCGTACTCCTCGTCCCGCTCCTGCATGTGCGTGGCGTTGTTCATCTGGATGGCCGTGGCAGAGCGTGGGCGGATGTCTACCGTGGGTGTCTGCTTTTGACAGGACAGAACGACACAGTTAGCCGTCAGAGCCGTGGAGGGGCCACCATTAAAGACCTAACTGACATGACAACGGGAGCTAATTTGCGCCGCGTTTATCTTTCTCTCACTCCTGTATTTAGTCAGTGCGATGTAATTTGCACCTTCAACTCGCCAATGGATCCTCTTAATGTTGTGGAGCCGTAACTACCACCTGTGGTTGTAATATGTGAGGGTGACAGCGACAACAGGTCAGTCTAGGTGGAAAACCCATGATGACGATTACACCTTAGGGCTGGAGTGGAGCTGGCTGCTCAGGCAATCACAATATTGTTTTTTTACAGTGCGGTGGACCACACTGCTATATTTAGCTGCTATATTAAGCCTGTTCTGGGCAATGCCACTCAATTTTTTATCTAGATTATGCTCCGACTGTTGCACAACATTTCCAAAACACTAGACCACGTTAGTTGAAGCGCAAAATGTTTTGACTGACTCAACAAAATGGCACGATTTAAACCTGTACGGCTCTTGGAAGCATTTTCTTTTTTTCCCCCTCCTTTCCTCCCCGGAAATGCATTTTCAAGATATGTTGTAACTGGCTTATGATGCATCATAAAGCCAAGCTTAGGGAGGAGCATGTGTTGGCAGATGTGCGGCACACAGCTCAATATTTCTCCAGCCCACTTGCTCGGTCACTAAATGGGTTAAAACGAATCTCTCCTTTTTTGCAAACTGTGCTCACCACTGGAGGGCACATGGCTTTCATTTGTGAGGTTTTTCCTAAAATAGGACAGTGACATCAGTACGTCTGTGGCTCTTGGAAGACAATTAGCATTCAAAACTGAAGGTTTTCATCAGCTTTTATCTCAGGAAACCATGCCACCTTTGCACAAATTGGAGCTCGGGCTGTTTGGCAGATTAAATGCTTCCCCCCTTCGCCTCTGGCAGCAGTGGAACATTCCTTGACCTTGCTGATAAACTCGCGGTGTCAAGCTCATCATTTAAAGAAGACACAGTGACTTGAGCATGCTCCGGAGTTCAACTTCTAATAATTTAGCTTCACCGCTTTCCCTCTTTAAAAAAAAAAAAAAAAAAAAAGTGCCAGGAGCTGTCATTAAAATCCTTCTTTATGTTTTGCTTTTTTGGCAACATGGGGACAGTTATCTTAAAAATAGCTGCAGTGAAACAGCTTTATGCTCTCTCTTGTGAGGAAACAACATACGTCTGAATATCTATCCCTGCTTTTTAAATTCAAAACCAAGAAAACAGGAAATATTTTATCCCCCTTTTTCTGCCACGTGAATGTTTTTGCCCCCGTTTCTGTGTATCTACAATACGCATGCTTGCTGCGAAAAATTAGGTCATTGCAGTTTTAGCCGGAACATAACATTATCTGCTGTAAGCATGCATCCTCAAACAAGCTTAAAATACTTAAACTTGATTGGACTGTTCATTCCCTAGAACTTGGGAGTCTTGCACAGCACTAGTGCACAAACCTACTGTCCCTTTGAAAACCATACATAACCACAGACAAAGCGACATGGGGAGGGGGTGGGGGTTAGTTTCAGCATTTTTGTCCTTATTGAGCGGACAGTATGTTGAGTTAATGAGGGGATTAGCGGGAGCAGGTTATGACTCAGTTCTCAAAGGGGATTGGTTGCACTGGAGAAAAGCGCAGTGGAAAAAAGCTCAAGCAGAAGGAGCATTAAGAGCATCCTGCCGCATGGCCTGGTCAAGCTGGGCTGTGCTGAGTTTGTGTTAGCAAAGACATAAAAAAATAATAATAAATAACGACAAAGAAACAACACAGTGGCATTGGCAACTTTAACCGGCTGAAAGTAGACAACCTCCCAGAGAAAAAGAGAGCCTGAAAACAGTCTGCACCATTAACAGAGGACGAGGAGGATCCCTTGCTTATCTGGCTTACACTAAATATTTAATAGTGGTGTTTAAATACTGCAGGTGGATTTTAAGCGGCACATTTAGCCTCATGCGTTGGTTAAAAATCTAACTGATCCGACCCTTAAAAATGCCACTAAATAAACTTTAAAGTACGCTTGACCTCCATGTGGAAAAGCAGATTATCCTGACTTGTGTGTGTTGATAAATTTAGATCTTTGCTTTCCCCCCACCCCCGCCCACCCCGGATGCTTTTTGGGTGTTTAAAGATTAGCATGCGCTAATCTTCTGAATGGACCTCCAAGTATAATTGGACTTAACACAGTGCAGGGGTTGTCTGTTTCAGTCTGTTAAGGCTCTGCTGACTCTGTAGGAAGCGTCAGGTTGAGAAGCCCAACAAACACACAGGTATAGATTTACTGGCAGGAGGAGAAGGGACAGAAGAGGAAGCTATCGCAGCAGCTGCTAGTTCACTGTGGTTACGACAACAACAACAACAAAGAGTGTAACAGGACAGAGGGAGCCAGAATGAGTCCACACAGGGCCTGGACTAATCCATTCCTCTGGACATGGGATGTGTGGGATGCTTATTAGAATTTTTTAAAAAACGGCTTAACTCTGTCTGGCTGGCTGCCTCCGCACTGTGCACTGCAGAGTACCCCTTTTTTTTTTTTTTAAATGTCATCTCTGATACCTAATTCAGTAACTAGTGAGGAAATGCAGGTAGATAAAGAGGGGAACAGAAGGAGGCGTGTCTGCTGGAGAACAGACAAAAAAGCAGTGAGGTGCTCGGGGCTCAAAGAGCCAAAATGCATCAGACACATGCAGTCAGACACAGGCAATATACCTTTGAGGAAAAGAGCCGGAGGAGCTTTTGTCCAGACAGGAAACAAAGAATATGTGGAGTTGGAAGAGAGTAACAAAAAAAACAAAACACAAAGAAGACATGTAAACAGAGAACACACGAACAAAAAAAAGACAAATAAACAGAAAAAAACAAGATAATGTGTGAAAATTACAAGCACTGTACTGTCTAAATAAAAATGGAGAGAGGAGAAATATACTGTAGAGAGACAAACATGTTACAAACAGAGACAAGGGGAGATGCATGGTGGGATATATATGTATCTCACATGCTTCAGCATCACCTTGGAGAAAAAAAACGATTAAATTGCAGACAAAACTACAGAGATTAAGTAAAGACAATCCAAAATGCAGAGTTCAGATGATACTCCCTGTGGATATAAAAGTGTGTTAGAGAGCATTCGTCTTAGACAACCTCATCAAACAGAACAGATGCTGTGAAAGAAACAAATTTAACTGATAAAGAAACTGGCAGGAGGAAATCTGATAAATGTCTCTGATAAATAACTCAGCATTTTATCACATCAGCAGACACACGGTAAAAAAAACAAAAAAACAGTTTCATATCTCCTCAATTTACACATTTTTAACAATTCATGAACATCACAGGAGTTTTCTTCTCTTTCTGCATACTCACTCCTTCGTTTATCTTGAAGAGTGGTGCAGAGGACCTCGAAAATCCCCTAAAAACTGGTAATACATCGTTCATTTATTTGACCGGCAAGACCATGTGCAAGATCTCAGTTTCGAAGGCTGACACAAGAACGCCCAATCATCCCCCAAAATGAGAAAAGTCAGAGGATATAATAACTGCAGAGCCAAATTTCAAAGAAACATCCTGACGTTAAAGACTTTAACTCTTTGAATGTGATTTCAAGCCTTTTTCAATACTGAGAATGTGCAAATATGGTCGACAACAATCAGTGCCACAGTTACTAGTTGGTTAATCCAGTTAATTACCAGTAACTACTTAGTAATCAGGAATTGTACGCTTAAAATATCGGCCGATTTTTGTGTCAAAGCTACCCAACAATAGCTCGGGTTGTAAGCTACTGCTGTATAATTCTCAACAAACATGGACAGCAAAGTGTGTTTTGGCATTTTTTTGATCAAGGAGATGGAAATGAAGTTGTACTGAAGTAGTATGTAGCATTTATCAACTCTACACAAAGACCCACAGACCCATCTTTGTGCTTATTTCTGACTGACTCAATGTCAGCAATGATGGCCCTATTTACAGTTAACTAGATAATAAAACAGGATCCTCTTACAGGAGTGGCTCCCTTTGACTCTAGACAGGGATGCTGGGATGCCCTCATGCCTGATATGATTACTTCCCATCCCTACGGCCATAATGTCATCTAGAGCAGTGCTTCCCAAACTTAAGGACAAGTAAAAATCTCAAGGCACACCTATTGTGCAAAATAGCCTTCATAATACGTGTTATTGTAGAGCATGTATGATCACTCATATCATATAACATATCTATAAATCTGCTTAATTATCTACTGGTTGTTTTATAATTCTCGCAGTGAAATACGTGGTTCTCTCTGAGGATTTTTTTTAAAGAATTGTTTTTAGGTAAAGCGTTTGCCTCTGTTTTATAAAACGAGTGCATACAAAGTACTTATACAGTAAATGAAAAAGTAATTATTGTTGTGTAGTTGTATTTTGTATTAATAATGTATGGTAATCACAAAGTTCTATGGCACACTTTTTGGGAACCAATGATCTAGAGGCTTGAAAACAGTGGCCTGACTAACCCTAATTAATCACAAAATAGTTCTGTTTCATCTTTTTTATAAAGTCTAGTTTTCAAGCATAGACTTCACCTGGTAAATTTTAACCCTTTTTTCCTTATTTCACCTCCTGGTTGTAATCCTACTTCTGAGAAAGGAGAAGGGCCAGTCCTTGAGTACAGGGTTAATTTATTCAGCTTCCTTTATCTGTAGAATCACCATAACCCTTCAGCCGAGCCGCCATTATCCCTTGATGGATTTTAACCTTACATGAGGCAAGCATAAGAACTGCCCTTGTCATGTGACACGGGTCTAAATTACAACCATAACAGATGTGTGCTGGATTATGAAAAGGTTAGAGCAACACGGCTCGCTCATTGAGTAATTTGACGTAGTAACCCTTGGGAAGATGCTCCCTTAGGGATACTCGACCGTGTAAACCTTTTTTTTTTTCTTTTTTCTAAGGCTTATCTAAGTGCTGTGCTGCAGCGGGGGAGGGGCGGAGAGAGTGTGTAGGAAGAACTTGATCTTTCACCTAAATAAAGGATAATGCAAACACTGTGGAGATATGAGACACATATGGTATTTACTTTCGTAAAAACACTAATTTTTTCTAGCTTCATCGTGAAACTCGCTGCAACAGTTATACAAAAAGACGCTCACCGGGTTTTTCTTCTTCTTGTCCTTTTTGGCGCTCGGCTTCCTGTTGCTGACAAAGTAGTGCAGCGTGCCGTACTCTATTAGTGCGGCAAAGACGAAGATGAAGCAGACGGACACGAACAGGTCCATGGCGGTCACGTAGGACACCTTGGGAAGGGATTTCCTGGCAATTGTACTCAGTGTGGTCATGGTCAGCACAGTTGTGATGCCTGGTAGTGAGATCGGGAGAGAAAGAATAAGATCACAAAAAAGTCCATCTGTGAATATTCAATAACACATCTGCGACTAAATTTATGTTTATTTTACTTAAATATGTCTGAAGGGCTGTTTGGTAGGAGGTGGAGTAGGGCTGTAATCAACCAAAGAAATTCTTGGTCGACTAACCCGGGAATCCCACTGGATCCGGAACGGCTCCACTCTGCTCTGGACCGGCAGACAGATCAGATATGCAAGCATACAGGATCCAATCCACCGCCGCCATCGGAGGAGAAGCGCTTGGCGAGATTACCGATATTTATTGCGAGACTGGGGGAGATCTTGGAGTCATAGACTGAGATCTGCCGATCGGTGTATATAAACAGTGGTGTTTATAAACACCCACAACCCTGGCCTCTCCTATCACCAAGTTAAGAACAGTTCAATGTATTGACTTCATTTTATTTCGAAAATTAACTGAATATTTTACTCTGCATACAACTTCCGCTGCTGCTTGTGCTGGGCTGTACTAAATTGATGTGCCGTGCTCCAACGTCCAGCAAAAATTGAAGTCTAGCGTATCTGATCCGGACACGGGAGCCGATACCCAGCGGAGCAGGATAGTGGACGGATTCTGTGGAATGACACACATTGATTATAATGCGTTCCGGATCCTGTGGGTTTTTCTGATAAAACCCTGAAATTTTGGACCAAAAATCGACTACGGCACACCCCTTCTGGGACGACGTGGCTCGGCGGAGCGCGGCTCGGTGGGGTGAAAATATACAGATATCAGTACAAGAAGGCAATCAAACACAAAAGGGAAGTTAAAACGCTTAAAATAAAAAGAAATATTCAGCAAACCATCGGATGTTGATTGAACGTGGGTGCTCTTCAATCTTCCTGCCTCTAGCTGAGCGAAACCAAAATAGTGAAAACAAGGGGGGTGTTCTGAGACAGGCTGTTACCTGTGAAAAGAGGGTGCTCTGAAAACACCCCCATCAGCACTTGGTACGTTCCTCCAGATGAACTTAACCATAGACTGTAAATTGACGCGGACAAAAAAGGAGTCGACCAGTCAAAATTTTGGTCAACTCAGTCCGAGCTGAAAATGACATCACACCCGAGTTACATGCGTTTCAGTTACCATGTCGGAATAAAGATAGCTACATCTCCGATAGTTATTTTAGCGCTAAAATAACTTTTGTAGTTGTAGCCATTTTGTTTCCACCTCTGATTTTGCTTTTTTCCGACTTGGTGACTGAAACGATGGGAACTCGGGTGTGACGTCATTTCAGCTCAGATTTCTGACTTCCGTGGTAGCTGGAATGCAGCATAAGTCGACCAGTTGACTTAAGACTTTACAGCCATAAGGTGGAATAAACAAAAAGTCACAAATTTGTTTAGATTTCACTTTTTATGAGCTGATTTTTTTCAAACAAATAAAGTTTTAAGATAAGATACTCCGTTATTAATCCCACAAGGGGAAGTTTTGCGAGTTTATAATTTCTTTTTAAAGGAAATGTATGATAGAGGACTTAATCCGTGTGTTTGATTGCATGTTTTTACCAGTCAAAGGGCATCGGGAAGAAATGACAAGCTGCTTTACTGTCCTCTTCCGATTTATCTCCCATTGACCCCCCCACATATACACACACACATACACACACACTCACAGGCACGCTCCACGTCTTTATCTGATAAGCCACCCTGCTGTAATCACTCTGTCTGTCTCTAATAATGATGCAGATGGAGGAGAAGTGGTGGCACATGACCAGAAAATGTGTTTATTCTCTTAAGTACGTAGAGACAACAGATTAGCAGCAGCATTGCACAACTCTCAAACACCAACAAACAAGCAGCTGAAAAGAGCGCCTCCTTCCTTTAGAATACAGCCAACATGTACGGGGAGTTTTATGGAGGAGATTATTTATGTCTAAATTTACCGTGAACTGAGAGACATCAGTCTGCACCAAGATTAACGCAGCAGTATTGTGAGTGAATTGATATATTTCTGGATGGCGTTGAAGGATTAAGAATTATGTCATCTGCATTAATCCTCTTCCTCACCACCTGGTTTCCCGTACCTCCTGCATCATCTTTCAAAAGAAAATTAAGAAATTTGACTCCTGGTACATTTTTAGCAGGGAATTAATAGTGTTTTTATTTCGACTGCAAATCATGTCTGGAGCTGGAGGAGCAAACACAACAAGCTATTTTTAGAGAGATTAATGATGTAGGAAGTACTGATGATAGTGGGGTAGAGAATGAGGGTTTCTGCCTGCAGGGATTGCTTTACATTCAGTTATGCTCGCTAATGATCACATCACATGGACTTCAGGTCAGGATTTAGAGCTTTAAGAAGAGCTGACTAAGCCAGAAGTAACTGCTTTCCGAGCGAACTTCTGAGCATGTCCACTGGATGCCAAGGGCGAGTTCAGAAGTTGACAAATTTCCTTGAAATCTCGCCCTCTTTTTTCACCCCCCATGTCCTTTTTTTTTTTTGCATGCGGCGAGGAGGCCACCTGCATTATTATTGTGCTGAGGCTGCATCTCTGCATGCTGTATTGCATAATTAATGCCTCATTAAGGCATGCATGAAAACATATGTGGCAGGAAAGGCTCCTCTAATCAAGATGGACTAGATTCCTTCTCAGCTGCCCTGTCTCAGAGGAGGAGGAACGATGGTAGAATCGAGAAAGAGAGGAATGACCACCACAGGCTTCTTGATGTGTTTCACAGCAGGGAGTAATTAAGGCCATAGTAGCTAATGAAACCTGCTGATTTAACTGGGGCATTTGTTTGTTTGTTTGGGCTAGGACACCCACATAGAAGGGAAATTCCCAACAAAGACTCTGTCAAGACGCGATTAGAGGATATATGGCATCTAAAATCACAAAAAAAGATGAAGCGCTTGAAAGAAACTTGAATAAACATCAAAATATTTCACGCTGACCTTTTTTTTTTCCCCAAAGGTTTTAATTACTTGCTGCAATAACAGCAGATAGCAGAAATAGGAGTAACACTAAGCACATTTAGAGAAGGCTTTAAAACAAACCTGTATGAACGTTATAGGCATTAAAAATAGCTTATAGTTATTGTTATAAACAGTGAGCATAATGCCTGGTAAAATTATGGTTTACAAAGCATTAATAAACCTTAAAGGGATATTCCGGCGTAAATTTAAGTTATGGTCAAACACATCATAACACTGAGTTAGACACCCCCTCGAGAGATGAATGTTGGCAACTGCTTGCTTCTCTTGTTATACCAACTTTAGTAACGATCTTATGATAGCAATACACAGCGGTCTACGTCTCCACTCGCAAACCTCAACAAAAAGGCCACTTTATAGACACAAATAATGCTCAGAACAGCACCTAACTTCATCAACAGTACACATAGGGTCCCAGCCATAGTGCTAGCCCTGATGAGTCGATCACCGAGTGCAGCAGAGTTTCACAGCTCAAGGAAGAACATTTATGATTATTTCTTGGGGCAGAAGAACTACCATATCTGCAGTGCAAAATGATTATCATAATGATTATTACTTAATGGAAAAGATCCGCTGCACTCTGTGATCAACTTGTCAGGGGTTCCCCACAAACAAGCGGCTTCTGGAGGAGAGTGGGTGAGTCGTGTTTGGTCATTATGTCTGGGACCCTATGTGTACTGTTGATGAAGTTTGGTGCTGTTCTGAGCATTATTTGTGGCTATAGAGTGGCTTTTTGGTTGAGGTTTGTGCGTGGAGACGTAGATGGCTGTGTATTGCTATCGTGTGGTCGTTACTAAAGTTGGTATAACTGGAGAGGCAAGCGGTCTGCAACATTTGTCTCTCGAGGGGGTGTCTAACTCAGTGTTACGGTTAGTTTGACTATAACTTAAATTTACGCTGGCATATCCTTTTAATGCAAGAAAAAAAAGCGTCTTTTAAATTCTTTGTTAAATAACATTTTAATCTGACAACTTTACGTTGTACGTTATATTGTGCACAGATTGAGATTTTGGCTTCTTCTTTTGTGTTTTAAGGACAGAGTAGGTTTTGAAAATCTCTGAATAAGTTCATAAAATAGTTTAATGTTTTGAAAAGGAAAGACAATTAACTTTTAAATTGTAGTACTGCTTGTAAAGTTCTTATAAATGTGTTATAGCATCATACAATTGTTAATGAGCCATCTCTTCACTTGAAGAGCCCAAATTCATGCTAAAGCGCGATGTGAGCATTAATAAGACCTTTTCTAAACTGAGAATTACAGAAATTATAACATTTTTCAATGATAACTATTAGTTTTCTTTTCACCTAATGATGTCCTGGCAGGTACGGCATCCTTGTTGATCCAGAATGAGACCCAGGAGAGGACAACAATCAGAGTGCATGGGATGTAGGTCTGGATGGTGAAGTAGCCCATCCTCCTGCTCAGGTCAAAGAAGACAGTCAGCACCACGTAGTCTCCTGGAGAGAGATAAACAACAGAAAGAAAAGAGGACAGACTGAGAACAAGTCAAATACTCACAGTTTGAGAGATGACAAACCAGGATCACAATAAACAGGAAGGAGAAGAATTTAATTAAAGCACCAACGAAGCAAAAAGCAACATGACGAAGGAGTGGACAAACAAAAAAACTAAACTAAACACAAACATAAGAAATCAAAAACATGTTTAAAAAAAAAAGCTGATAATTTAGTGTAAAAATGAGCCTCCTCCAAAGCGATAAAGCAGCCTCATTGTGTTTGGGTTTAAGGTGTGATTGAGGGATTAGAGGAGTTGTTTTGAGAAGGAAGTGAGTGAGCTAAGGGGCTGAATACAAAATTAGAAGATCAGTAATTTATCATGGGGCTTATTCATCAGAGGCTTATCAAATGAATGAATAAATAAATGAATAAGAGCTTCAAAATAAACCAAGTATTTCTGGTATCTAGTGCAGGTGTGCATCTTGTGTTTTCTTTCCATTGTTTCATCAAGCTGCGCAGCTGCATGAGGGATATAAAGTTTATATGCCGAACAGTGATTACTAATTAGACAAGTGCGATTGTGAAACAAAGTGCGCATAAAACTTAATGTATATCATGTTATAAACTGTTTTATGAACTGATAAATCAGAAGTGTAGGAGCCGGACAGTAGCTGCACTTTGTTAAATAAGTCCCCATTATCTCAGTGTGTTTGAAGACAAAACCCAGAAGCACCAAGCTGTGTTAAACAGACCGCTAAATCACGGCCTAATCAATACATAATGTTGTGTAACCAAACCCTACACTGCTTGTTTGCCTGAAGCAACTCGGGGATCTAAAACCAAACGGACTGATTCAAAGAACTGGAGCTGGACTTGCTTGGATACACGGACTCTCTCTCTTTTCTCACACACACACACACACACACACACACACACACACACACACACACACACACAGAAGCCCTCGTCTCCTGCCAGTAGTTAGCTGGAACATGAGCACTAGCATCCAGCTGATCATGAGCCTTCCCTGAGCTGCCTGCCTGACCCCGGCAGATGTTAGGTCTTAGGAGGTTGAGGTTAGCTGAGCCCAGAAAGACCTGACCCTTGCAATATGGCTCATCTGGCCTGCCTGTATGAAATGCATACAAAGCACACTTGCATGCAGGAACACACTCGTGCTTACACATTCTTGCATTCATTAGGCTTGAATTCGAAAAAGAACAAATAAAGAGACAGGTGTGTGAAAGAAACGAGTCAATATTTTGTTTATTTGTTTTTCTATATAACCAAAAAATAAAAGATTAGTGTTTGTTTTCGTATTTTCAGTTCAAAACAGTCCTAAAATCGCATCACTCTTGATGTGTATAGTCAGACGCGTCAAAATTCGCCTTCAAATATTTCATAATTTTTATTTCGTCGTACATTTGCGTCGTTCCCAGTGTGTAAGGACCTTTATTATTTCGTTTTCATTTCCTTCTCTATCATATATTTTTTACTTTTTGGTTATACAGAAAAACAAATAATCAAAATATTGACTCGTTTTTTCATTTTTCGTTTACTAGATTGAATGAAATTACTGAATAGATGGATAATACACAGACCGAAAACACACACTCAAATCCTCGAGGTGTTGGCGCCAGCTTGACAAAACAGTAATTCTTGCCAAGAGTTTTCTTCCTCTTTAAGTGTCTACCTATGTACCTGTCTGTCTGTGTCTCTGGGCGTAACGGCTCCAGCTCAGTCAGTTGTCTGCTAATTGATTAACATCAGACAGCAAACAGTGTCGAAAACCTCCTCTGGCCTCTCACTGCGGCTTGTAACCTGCAAGGGCACGAGGCTTTTCCCTCTCGAAAGCCGTCTGCGTGTGCATGTTTGAGCAGGAGTGTGTGTTTTTAGCGCCCACAGCACACAGAAAACGGCATCAGCAGCTGTGGGACTGAGCAGCTGGCTAATAATGTTCCTCATGAGAAAGGGCGCACAACAACACATAGAGCAGTTTAGCGAAAAAACAGCTAACATCTGTGTGTTTGTGTGCTAATGAGAGACAGAGAAGCAAAGAGACGAGACTGTCAGTGTTTATTACGTCTGCGAACATGTGCGCTCTCTGTGAGTGAGTCCTCGCAGTGTTTTGGATATCCACCAAGCTTTTGTGTGATTCATCCCAGCATGCACCTCTGTTCACCCGGCCATTGATAGCATCGTTAAATAAACCAAGTGTAATAACCCCGGCAGCACAACCATAACTGCTCATATCACCACCTGTGTGTGTGTGTGTGTGTGTGTGAGTGTGTGTGTGCTTTCTGCTGATGCAGGCAGGTGTAGGTATATTACAGCGTGCCGCCTCGGTTTGTAGGAGTGCGCGAGACACATGAAGGCTGCTCTCAGGGGTCCCGCAGCCCACCATTTGGTTTTTATTAACATCACATTAGCAGGGGCCCAAAACCGGGACCCCTGACAGCTGAGAAACTGCCGGTTAATACACTTCTTCCAGCTTGGTCAGCAGCTCAAAGCCTTCTTCACATTACCTCAGACTCTTAATGATAATGGGATTTCCACCACAGGGGTGAGGTCGACCGGTGTAAGACCCTGGTCTCTTCGTCTGTTTGCCGCTTTCATTAAAGGACGCAGCGCTTGCCAGGAAGACACTTTGAGGAGTTGCTATCGACCAGTGCCCTCCATCCAGGCAGGCTGATGTATCTGTATCAGACCGCCTGCCATTACAGCTCTGTAGTACTGCATCCCTTTGTCGATGACTTCCTGATTCCACTGAAAACAAAATGGTTTAAAAAGTTTGGCAGGGATTCCCCGACATTATGTGGGGAATGAACAACTAAGGCTGCAGGTCCCAACACAATTAGTGGACTCTGCAAAGGCTTCTATAATGCTGAGTTTTTAATTCGCATGTTCATTTTCTCTTGATTACCCACCTGAGTGGATTTTAGATGGTCAGTTTGAGTTGGGTTTGCCATCTTTTTACACCACTCTTATATATCAGTGATCCAAATTTTATCATTATAGCTTCTTTTTTGCTTAAATCTTGATAAATATGGCTGCAGAAGTGTATACACTCAGTCCTAAGTCGGGGCTTCTTTTGGAGACAGTCAGTGTTGCTTTGAAAGCTCCTTCAGCTCATCTGTGTTGTTGCTCTGGTGTCTCTCATCTTTCTCTTAATGATACCCCCAGAATTCTCTACGGGGTTCAAACCAGTTGGCTGGCCAATTAAACACAGTAATAGCACGGTCAGCAAACCAGTTTCTGGTAGTTTTGGTGCTGTTGGCGGGTGCCAAGTCCTGTTGGAAAAGGAAATCTGTGTTTCAGCAGATAGAAGCATGTAGTGTTCCACAATCTCCTGGTAGACTTTAGGCTGCAATGACTCTGGACTTAAAGGGATATTCCGGTTAAACACACCATAAGACACCCTCTCGAGAGATGAATGTTGCCGACCGCTTGCTTCTCTAGTTTTATCCAACTTTAGTAACGACCGCATGATAGCAATACACAGCGGTCTGAGGAGCCATAAACAAACCTCAACCAAAAAGCCACTCTATAGCCACAAAAATGCTCAGAACAGCACCTAACTTCATCAACAGTACATATAGGGTCCCAGACATAGTACTAGCCACCAAACATCTTTTTAACTTTGCCTAATTTCTATCTTCAATCATCTTCCAGATTTTGGGACCTTTGTGGTTTATCCTCCTTGGGGAGGGTGTCAATGATCGTGTTCTGATCGACCTTACAGTCAGCTGTCTTCTCCATGATTGTGGTTGTGGAGAATAAAGCTAAATAAACCTTCGCAGATGTACAAAGTTGTTTACGATTAGTCGAGTTTTGATTTTCATAAGCTGTAAGCTGTGATCATCAAGATTCAAACAAAAACGCCTGAAATTATTCCACTTTGTTTTTGATTCATCTGGAATATATAAAAACAGACGGAGACCTTTACACATACATAAGGGGCGTTAAATATTGATTTACCAGCAATTATAAGAAGAAAGAAACATCACCTTTACCATCCATACTTTTGCTGAAGCCTCTTACAATACCAGAAGTCCTATTTTGCTCGTGTCGTTGCCCTTTTTTTGAACGATAGAACATGTTCACATATATACTCATGTTTGTATATGCACCAATGTATACCCCTGTGTGTGGAAAAACAGGTCCCTGTTACTTTTCATGAGAATGCAGCTGGAATATCAAAGCATCCACGCCTTTGTGTGCCAGCTCTCCTCCTAATAGGAGCCCTCAGACTCACCTCAGCTAGATCTCCCTATCTGTCAACGCCAAGGGCGGCGGGCGTGTTCACAAGAGTGTTCACACATGATTTTCACAGGGTCTATGGAAAAAGTCTTGCTTCAAAGCTGCTACCTCTCGGGTTAAATGTATACCTATATATATGTTTGAAAGAAGCTGTCAAACACAATGGGGTGATCTCACAGCCTTCCACATCTGTCAAACAACGCCCACATGTAGCGTGATTTCATTGGCAGCTTCTCCCCCAACTCCTTCATAATGATTCGTTCAACTTTATGTTCTGGTTTCTCTCGTGATTTAACACCCGACCATTCAGCTGCAGATTTTTTTTCTTTGTCATCAAAATTCCTCAACAGTCCAAATTCCTACAATCCTATCTTCTTACTGCTATAATTGCATCGCTATCAATTCAATTCGTCTCTTTCTGTTTATAAGTCATGAATGAAAAATGCTGATGACAGCTGTGAGCGGAGAAAAAAAAGAAAAATCAACCATGCAGACAACAGCTCAAGACTATTGTTTGTATTGAGATATGGTTTGAAGTATTTTTATTAGGATCACACATTTCCCTGGCAAAAGCGATTTACTACAAGCTGATGTAATCTACGGAAAGCAATAAAAAACTTGGCGGGGATGATCATTCATCAGAGAACAGCGACGCTTTGTTGTTAAAAGCCGCAGAGACAACACACTCAACGGAATTAGACACACTCACACACGCTCAAAGCAGAGGAGGGAGGGGAGATGAGCCCTCTATTGGGTGAGAATATCAGAATAAGATGGATGTTTTATTATCATCATTACGGTAAAGGGATTGTTTGAGCGTTCTGTATGTGTGGACCTTCACGGGGGAATATGGCTGTACGTTATTGCAGAAAAGCCACAGCGGAGTTCGTTGGAATGAAACATGGTTATTCAAGACTGCTGACCTGAAGAAAAAAAAAAGAAAAGGAAAAAAATGTCACATGAGAATATGATCGTGATGGCAGCCAGACTGTAAATTGCTGTGGATATGGACGGGCAGGAGAGACCTGAGGCACATGCTGGATGTCCGCTGAAGGGAGACGAGCCAGACACATAGCAGAGCGGCTGACAGGCTGTCTCGCTGAGCTCCTCTCCTGTCAGGGGTCATCTGTATCAGAGGTGACAGCGGGTTGCTGCTGTGCATGTGTGTTTGTGTGAGGAAGACAGGAGCACTGCTAATGACCTGGGTGATGCTGTGGTGGCATGCCAGGGTCAACAATACTTACAGAGAAATGTTAAGTCACCACTTTCTGTGACATGACTCGGGGCTATGTGCCAGTGATTAACTAGTTCCTTTTTGCATTTTTGTCTCCACAGGCTACCGCTGATTTCCCTACCAAGACAGCGGGCGGCGAGATGATGTCACGGCAAACAAGGCACAGCATTGTCGTGGTGAGTAACGGCGGCGGCACAGCAGCGTGATTAAACAGCAGACAGGAGGCTGCAGAGTTTGATTGCCTTGTTGTTAACATTGTAGCGAATGTGACGGAGACAGATGATTATCCCTCCCTCAGACACACTAATAGCTCTCAAATTATTGAGAGCAAGGCTGTTAAGAGGATTTATGACAGGTAGTAAGCAGCTGCCAAAACTGTTTTTCTTACAACTCTTAAAGATTTTTCGGGGAGGAAGTGTAAGTTGTAAACAATAGGCTTCTCGTGAGGCATACACATTTAACTTTTTTCCTCTTTTTCCTGGGGCTTACAGTAGAGGTGAGAGAAAAAATCGATACAGCGCAGTATCAAGATATTTTTTCTGGTGATATATGGTATCGTCTCATTTACCAAATATGGATTTTTCAAATTAATTGTTAATATGAAGTCAAATCTATGATAATGAAAAAATAAAATCAACTGTTCGTCCTGTAAGGTTGGCAGAAATGACATCATAGAGCAGGACAAAGTGAGTACAAAAATATATATATTTAAGGTTTGCAAGATGTGCTACATGACAATAAAATAATGTGTAGATAAGACAAACATAAAGTAAAGACAAACGCTAAATTAGCCAAACAGTTGAAAAAATTGTATAAATCGCAATATATTTTATCGCAATACTCACTGGATTGCAAAATGTTAAAAATCGCAATAATATCATATCATGGCCCAAGTATCTTGATAATATTGTATAGTGACCCAAGTATTGTGCTAATATTATACTGTGATAATATCGTATCGTGGCCCCAATATCGTGATAATATCGTATCGTGGCCCCAATATCGTGATAATCTCATTTCGTGGCCCAAGTATCATGACAACATCGTATTGTGGCCCAAGTATTGTGATAATATCGTATTGTGATAATATTGTATTGTGGCCCAAGTATTGTGATAATATCGTATTGTGATAATATCGTATCGTGGCCCAAGTATTGTGATAATATTTTATTGTGGCCCAAGTGTCGTGATAATATCATATCGAGGGACCACTGGTGATTCCCACCCCTATCTTCCAGCGTTATCCATGACTTATTGAAAAAAACCAACTCATGTTTCTGGACTTCAGAGGAGCCGCACTAAACTCAGATTTGATTTTTCTGTCAATAACTATAAAGCTGCTGTGAGAGCAGGTGAAAGAGCGAGAAAGAGCAGACTGATAAGCAGAGTAACGAAGGGTACCGTTGAGCACAGATGTCAGGGGAAAAGAAACAAAATCTTAATTCGGACATCTGTCCTGATGTAACTCAGTTTAACAGGGAAGTGTGTGAACAATGTTATAGACTCAAGTCTTCATTATAAAAGTGTCTCATATAAACAGCTCTAACATCCGCTGAGAGCACACCACATGGGTGCTGATCTGTGATTTTTGCCTATGGTTTGCAAATCTGTAAGGATAGGAAAATGTGCACATGGTTTGCACGTGGCTCTTTCTTTCTTTTTTTTTTCTTTGCAGCTGTCAGCAGGTAATTGATCATAAGCTGGCCCTTAAATTTGAAGTGCTCCCATATCTTACTGTCATCATCGTCATGCAAATTTCATAGACAGCCCCGTCAAGATTTGCAGGATCTCTCCTGTCATTTGGTCTCAACCTGAAATGCTGCCAAATTACAGAGGTTATATTTTTCTCTCCTCTTCCTCTTTTTTTTCACCTTCCCCTTTCTTTTCCTTTGCTTTCGTCAAGTACTCTGAGATGCTACCTAAGCCCACAGCTAATGTTGAAGTTATTCCTTTCAATGTTGGGACATGTGGTGTTCTTCTGCTAGAGTAAGAAAGCATATCAGCTTCCAGACTTTACCAGTGCCATTGCACTTCACTTTGTGTTGTCATGCTATGTCGTGTTGTTGTCATTGCGTTGCATCCTGTGCTTTTGAAATGGTCTGGCTACAACTGCTATGTTGTGGTTGACAATCCATCTTCAGATATTTCCACTCTTGATGCCTCTTATTAAAAATGGAGGGGGAAAAAAACTTCCACTATTGATGAGTTTGAAATTTACAACTTCATTTCACACATATCAGTAAGGTTTATATTCCAGGGAAAGTGCATCAACTGAAATAACTTAGGTTTTACAATTAGATTTTGGCACAGGGATTTTCTATCATGCAAGCAGTTTGAAGTGCACTCAACACTTCATAGCTTGGATTAATTGTTCGGCAGTGATGCATCATAGTGAAGAAGCATGTAATTCATGAACTCACTAGAAAGTAATTACAACACAAGCTACATGGACGGATGCTTGCTCAGCAAAGTTAGCTATTATCTCTGACGTAAACACACTTTTTGCTTTTTCTCTTATTTTTTACAACAACCATGCTTTTTTCTTCCATCATGCCACATTACAGCAACATTACTGACTCATTCACAAACCTCCCCTCTCTCTTCTTTCTCCGTCTTGCTTCATTTTATCTATTTGTTCCAGCATACCTCGTCTAAAAATGGCTTCATTATTTCTTATTTGCACGCTCACTCACAGATGTGATTCTCACTCATTACATAAGCGCTATTTCCCAAAATGAATCTCACGCTCCTCGCCCTGTGTTTAATATTCTAGTTTTTTTGGGCCTGCTTCATGTTCTGTTTTGTCCGGGTGGCAGGACGTGTCTTCACTTTAAAATCACAGCATAGACTTGATAGCCTGGAAAATGAGATTTAATTTATGGAAAGCATTTGCCGTTTTTGAGCACCATATTCCAACACAAACAAACGTTTAAACCGATCTCATTTTACAGGCATTTACAGTAAAATTGGAAATATGGAGTCTCACTAATGGAAAACATCCTGTGACGACTTCTTTAGTGTTCAGCAATGTACAGTTTCTACGCAGCTGTGTAGCTTCTTTGCAACACCATATGTTCAAGCTATCCTGCTAACTAAGAGAAGATGAGGGTCACTTCATAAACTGTAAGGTATAGACAGATTATCAACCTGGGACAAATTCATGGTAAATCTCACTGTCCCCTTCTGCTGGTCGCTTGTATATGTATTGAATATATAGAAAACAAATGCGATTTTTTATCTTTAGTGCTATATTTCAATACAAACAAATTATTTTAGTGCTGCCATATTGGAGATATTTGATTACAGGTATTTACTGTAAAATTGGAGATATGAGTCACACAGTCTGTTAAAGGTGCTACCGTAAGAGAAAACAGTCTGCCTGTGTGAGTACTTTTTTTTTTCGTTCAGCAATGTGCAGTTTCCATGCAGCTGTGTAGCTCTCTCTAAAACTATATGTTTAGCTGTCCTGCTCGCAAAGAGTTGACTACATACACTTTAATAGCTGTAAGGTATGGATTCATGGGGACTCACTGTCCCCCTCTGCTGGCAACTTCTTTTAAATGAGTGGAAAACATCTACAGTTTTTTTAAACACTATCATTCATTGCAAACAAATGTTTTCAGTAATCTCATGTTTTGGCTGACACTCCCAAAGAGACAGAAACGATAAAAACCCTGACTCCCTTAGTTTTTCATAGTTATATCAACAAGCAACACCCCCTTCTCCTTTATGAACAGTGGCTAAAACTGTTGTAATGTGATGATATTCAAAACATTTCAACTTTCAAACAGGATTCTAATGCAAATATGGAAAATATGGAAAAGTATGGAATAAATTTAAACAATTTACAGGTCTTAAAAAGTATGGAAAATGACAAATAAAGTATGGAAAAATATTTATGTTTCCTGACTATTACCACAGTTTTGAAATACTGTCTTCAAAAACGAAGAGTAGGTATTTCCAAAAATAATTTCAAAAAGTAGGGTATGGTAAATTATGGAAATTCCAAATGTGTAGGAACCCTGTTTAAAGAAGCTCTTTTGACTCATTGAGCTGTGCAGCACATTAAAAATTGTGATGTCAGATAGATAGAAGTTTTACTGAACATATACCAGGGGATTTAGTTAGCTTCTACTCTATCTCATCTTTTAAATTCTAATGTCATGAATTATGAGTGTCAAAAATAAAAAGCACACTGCTAAAAGATATCTTCAGGATAACTTGCAGTCATAATGTTACATCGTACAAATCTCTACAATTACAACACTGTAATATAAATGTAAATTTGATGGATAAGCTCAGACAAGCACAGTGTAAGCCGAGACAATCATTGCCCATGGCTTTGTGCTCTTTCAGATTAGAGTTTTGGATCCCTGATTTTCAGCTTTCAAATCTAATTAATCAGATTCAACATACCGACTGAAATACCCCCAAATACATCACTGGTGTATGATTCTGCATTTTCAGACCGATGGCAATTTCTTTAAAGAGAGTAGATAATCATTGAGCTTCGCCAAGAAAGCACTTTAAGAAAATAACATGTGCTCTCAAAGAAACAGATTTTCCTCATGGAAATATGCTGCTTGTGCTGAAGTTCATGCATGATCCTGGTTATCAGGCATAAATATTAACAAAGCATCCCCTCATAAAGATTCAGGAGCAGCTCCATTGGAGAAAACACATTCAGAGCTTAGATGACTTGAAATTTAATATCTCTGTCGCCCTTGCCAGACTTGTTGATAATATGTCTCAGATATGGTGGAAATGATGACATGTATTAGCATAATATGCACAGATTAGCCATACTAGGCTCTTTTTGATGGATTGCCAATGTAATAGCATGTGTGACATGAGTCATTATCAAACCTGGAACATTTTAATACCACAATAATATATAAAAAACTGTATCAAGTGCCTTCCTGGAACTGAGGTGACATGTTCTTCACTGTCATTGTGTTTCACTGAAAAGAGCTCGCTCTGTTTTCACTGCAACTCAGAGATTTGGCCTCTAATGAAATGTATTAACCCACCAAACACACAATGTTCCAGAGCTTCTCTCCTCTTATGTCTTGTGGTTAATTACTTTGAAGCCCTGGGTTGCAGAATATTACACAAGGCCAATAAGCTGAGTGAGAGGAATATCTAGGACTCTAGCTCAGAACTTTATAACACTTTATTGAGCAATGAGGGCTCAGTCTTTTGAACAATTACTCCGCTGAGTGACTGATGCTTTTATGCCTGTTTTATTCGTCAACTATAGTATCTTAATGTTTTGCAGAAAATGCAGACTTGAATTTTTTTAACCTTTAACTAAACACAACACGCTTACGCCACCACGATAGAAGGAGTAAGCACGGTTTTGGTTTTGCAGAGCGGAAAAAATGAATGATGGTGAAAGCTAATATCATAACTAGCTTTCTTACGAGCATTGCAATCCGATAACACACACACTTGTTCTACGATTGTCCCCTATTTCTCAGAGTCTTTCCTTCATAGCGGGGCTCCGGGGATGAAGCTTGGATTTGTGATGTAGGAAATCTCACTATATGTGAGTCTGCCGTTTGGTCAGATTACTCAAGTAATCGATAGAATATTCACTAGAATACTCGATTACTAGAATATTTGATAGCTGCAGCTCTAAACACAACAAACATAAATTCAATCATTTAGAAACTAACTTACTCCAACATGAAACTAACTTACCTGCATCGAATAAATATGAATAAACTTAACTGAAACGCTAATTCTATCATGCTGGAAAAACGAGATTTATCTTTGCAAGTAATAGTATGAAGAGTAGTATTGTTTTGAGATGTGGACACAGTAGAACCAAGTAGCAACTTCTGTTCTGTTGAAAAATAAAGTCAACACCTGGATGCAGTTTCTCAAGTGTCCACTTGGGGCTGGCTCCAAAAGCCAACAGAAGCCACATTTAAGGTATATAAAATACTCCTTTTCAGCAGAAATGAAGAGTTTTTAGTTCTAGTTTTAATCTCTTTACCTTGTTCTTTTATTCATAGCAGCTGCACATGATTTTTTTTTATGAATTGTCTGTTTTGATTCGATTTTGATATCATCCGAGTTCAGCACAATTAGGCAAAATAAGATGTGATGTTGATTTCTCTGACAGGTTAGCTGCTGAGTTTGAAAGCTCTAACCCCAACTCCACCTTTATCCCAGCTTATTTTAGTTAAGGTTGATGTTACCAAAGTGGCGACTACCATCGTTGGCTTTCCAGACCCCTCCTGAACCACTGTTACTGAGACTAATCTGTGTTATCTACAATCAGTCATTTTGAGTCTGTGAATACTGCACACCTGTATTTTAAGACCGATTCTCAAACTCTCTTCTTGTCAAAATCAATCTCAAACCCGTGAACCCGGGTCTGGCCTTAGTCTGCTTTATTCTTCCAAAAGAGAATGATGTTTTTAAAAGGCAGCTCAACCAACAGAAGTCAGAAACAGAGAGATAAAATGACTCTGTCTCTGTCCTGCTTTAGTACTGGCTGAACATCTTTTTTTTTCTTTTTTCCCAAACTCTATTTCTTTTTTATCCTTGCTACTCCCCGCCCCATGACCTCCATCTTTGCCTACTGGCAACTCAACCGACAAACAAGCGAGCCTTGCTTATTTACATCCACTGGCTCCCCTCATCTTGCTCCCTTTTCTCACATGGGGAGGCAGTAATTTTGTAGTCAATAAATTCAAGTGCCCTAGTTTATCATCCCTGAAGTTGTCTTTAACTACAGCTGTGCCATGGAAGTGTTTGTGATCATTAAGGAAGATAAAAGGAGGGTAGAATTAACTTGAGTAACCTCTTCTCTTTGATTTAAGTTTAGATAAGTGGGTTGCTTTCCCCTCCATGTCCAATGTACCTCTATTTTTTTTTAGCTTAAGCCACTGCCTTCAAATCCATATCCCTTTGAGTTTCATGGTGTGTCCTCTTCAAAATAAAAAAGGAACAAACACCTTTGCAAAAACACTGAGAGGGCTGACAATCTGACATACCGCAAAGACTAAGAAGAAAATCTATGTCTCTAAATCTGAGCTCCTCTGCTTTGCACCACAGGCGCTCTTTGATATGCAGGTGGTGGTCGATGGGGAGGAAAACAAGAGCCTTATTTTCCCAAAGCAATCTCTGCTCCTATGGCCTATCACCAGTTCCTGTTTTCAGGTTTTAATTACTGGCTTATTAGACTGTCACGTAAGAACGAAAGAGAGAAAAAGCAAGAGAGAGAAGAGAAGAGGGGGAGGGGTGGAAAAATAGGGCACAGGAATACACCGGGCGCAAAAAATAAAAGTGATCTCCTTTCCGAGAGTAGAGAAGGTGTAGAGTGCACGGGGGAGGGCTGTTGGGGGGGTTGTGCGGAGTAGACACTCGTAAATGTGAACGCTGTTAGTGGATAGGGCAGGTTGTATTTGTGCGCAGAGGACGGGAGAGCCGATGGGGAAAAGTGTAAATTGGTATTTAACTTCACAAAAGGAGGATTCTGGCTGAGTCAGAGCATTTTTACCTCCCACTACAGCCCATCACAACTATCACCTAAGAGCATGAGGGAGAACATACAGAGACAGAGAGAGAGGGGGGAGGGGATAAGGAAGGGGGAGATTATATAGCTTATATAGCAGCAGAGTCCCTTCACGGGTTAGTTTTCACAGTGAGGGATCATCATCTGATAATTAGTGCAAGTTACTATTACCATGGTCTTTATTCAGTATGAAGTAACTTACCATGCACTAATTGTGTTGTATTCATATGTACCCTTGTGTTTAATTTAAAGCTCCTGTAACAGTCTTTGCTTTTCTTGCCTTCTACATGCTTGAGTAGTGATTTGAATCATTAGTTGTGAATATTTTGTAGGGAAATTGCAAAATCCGAGCTGTTTCTTCATCTGCACGGCTGGCACCTACTCCCTCGTAACAGTTTCGGGTATTAAAAATTACAGAACAAAAATAGCCAGTTGTCTCCCTGATAGTCGTGTTTGCTTTTGGATATCATAAAAAGGAATTAATATGAATTTCAGTCTATTTCATAAATTTGAAAAAACTACCTAGAGGAGCTTTAATGTTGTTTGTAAATGCATATTGGATTGTTTATCTTAAATATTACGACTGGCAGCTTCAATTAACTCAGCATTACTGGGATACTATATGTCTATATTACAAAAGACTTCTGATACAGCCATTACATTAACGTTTTATCAATTTCCTCCTCTGTATGTACCTGCATATCCTTTCATATATTATTCTGAATTATTCCGCCTGAATGAAGTGTTACTCATCAAAACAATTTATGCATCGGAAACAGAAATAATTTCACACAATATGCTCCGGCGTTTGCAGGTGTTTCATTTGATCAGGGGTGCAATGTCTCAGCAACAATAAAGAAAGTATTGGCATTTTGCTTTTATTGCTTTTTCTCTCCCCCCATCTTCTTGATTAAAGCAGGCTGGTGATGACAAGCGCCCCCATCTCTGTGGCATATATATAAATATTTATATATTTATTTTTTGTTCAGGGATATTTGATTTTGAACAGTTTCTCTTTAATTTGCCTTGGATTTCTATTAAACGTTTTATTTGATGTGACCATAACCACAGTGCCGTTTGGGGCTTCTGCAATTCTCGGGACAATATTGCCACACGTATGTCCCAGCGCTCTTTTAAGTGGATTTGTGTTAAAAAAAAAAAGAAAAAAACAGCTTTTCTTTTAGGTAGTTGAATAATGAAACCACACAGAAACCAAACTTATCATTACATACCTACGACACGAAACTGAAACGTAATCCAGGGACAAAACGTCACTGACTTTCCTCGGCAATGACGCATCTTTTTGACATGTGGGCCCGGCTCAAAAAGGACAGAGAAATAAACAGTCCCTTTGTGTGGCCTAAAATAATTGCACATCCTGAGGACTCTATCTTTTTGATGTGATTCTTTTCCCCTCCGTTTTGTCACTGCAGCAGCAGAACTGCAGCTATTTTAGTTGTGTGTAAGAGTGTGTAGGAGAGCAGTTGAGGATTAAATTATGGTTTAAGTCTCCATCCGTAACCCAGAGTGCCTAAAGATAGCACAAACGACGCACTCTGCCATCCTATAAGGGAAATCCTTTGGCTTGTCGGAGAGTGACTGTGCTTACATTAGAGGCTTAGATGTATATTAATGTATACGACAAGCATGACTCTTCATGTGTTTATTTCGCTGACTGCTTCCGCTCGTTGGGTCACTTCATTTCAACTGCGATGCCTCCAGATTCGCCCCATCAAAGACTCATCTGCAAACTGTGGAGCTCCGTAATCGGGAGAGGGCCACTGATGTGTCCCTGGGCTCTCTCCACTCAAACTGAATCACACAGGCGGGCGCACACAGACAACAGGGCTGCACGCCATGGCTTTTGGAAGGTCACTCTAAGAATAGCCTTCAATACATAAAAAAAAAACTGAGCAGATTCAGTGGAGAGCACACTGAAATGTGCATGCAGGCAAATGGACACAGGAGCATGCATTAATTCATGGACACAGGCGTGGACTAAAGCACTCTAAATGCTGTCAAATGCACATAGATATGTAGCGCTGAATGATGCACATGGCGTACATTTGTTCTCGGCTAAAAGGACAGAAAATTAACAACTACATGTCTTACTTAAAACCACTCAGTGATGCTGGTTGCAAAACAAGGACGGGCGGCAAATGGCATCAATTTTCCTTCACGCTTGATGAGAACAGCCTCTTGCCTGCCCATGCTATGCTCTTTAAGTCATTTTTATACGCTTCTGAAGGAACATGTTAAATGGCTGCAAATAGATTTATGTGATAATGTCACATTTTTTATGCAAATGCACCACAATAGTGACACTATTCAGTGACTTTAGAAGAAAAGACTTCACACGTTCATTGTTCAAAAGCATGTTTTTGAATGTACTTCAGTGTTTCCCCTTGCTGCTTCGCTTTGGTGCAGAGGGGTGAACGATGGGTGACGTAGACATATGTCACACAGGGTGACGGAAGATGAGCCAGCGCTGTTTTCACAGCTGGGAGGGATGCTTATGCTGCGTTCCAGTAATCTCAGAAGACGGGATTTCCGAGCTCCAAATCGGAAATTCATGTGGAACGCCCCCCTGAAGTCGGATTTTCGACTTGGAAAGTCGGACGATTTTCATCAACACCGACTTGACGACTACGTCACAATCCCAGATGGCAGCGCAGTCCATCAATAGTAAAGAGTAACAGTGAAAGCTCTTGTAATGTGTTATTTATTAGCACCTCTGTTTTGTTTTTGTTCAATTAAATAAGTGGTATATGTTGTACTGCCCAACGTCTAACTGTGAACACGGTGCTATGGTGTTTGTAAGAATAAAATACTGTGCTATGCTTTGTTTATCACTGGTATAGCTAAAAACAACTTACAACAACTGAAAACAATGGCTAACAGTAGGCGTCCATCTTGGTCCTCCATCTTGTTTACTGGAATGCCGTCAACTGGGTTGTAATGTCTTTCCCAGCTCCGACATTCAAGGTATCTAGAACATAGCGTTAAGCCAGCATCCACAAGAGAATGTGCGGCGTCCGCATCATTATGTATCATCTTTTTTCAATTGGGGTGCTGAATGTTCGGGGACAATAAGGTGCTCCATGACCGTTTTTTTAATTCTTTTGTTGGCATCAAACACGATGGATAGGAGACAGAACCCCGGGTTGTCAAAACCATCCTGCGCAAAACTGGCAGGGTATAAGCAGCAAGCGTTTGCAACAAGGATACCAGAATCAGTGGGCGTGGCCTCTGAACTACGCGGTGCAGCATGTCAGCACATGGAATTGCGCAAATTATATTTTATGGGTCGTTTTGAGAAAAATTAAAATTAAACATATATATTAATTTACGACTTTAATTTCTGAGTTGGGATCTTGTTGGCAGGGTGGGCGTATCTGTTGGCACAATACACTTTAGGGTAAACACTGTAATTATCTAGCACTTTTACACCACTCATCCCATTTATCTTCCCAGCTTTGTTGGCCATAGAGCTGAGAAGATGACCATCACAGAGACTATAAATGATCAACAGAGTACATTTGGATGTGGTGTTGTGCTAAATAATTATTATATTGAATTGTTCCCCACATGAGATTATACTTTTTGATTATCCCTGTAACCTGATGTGTTCTGTTGCCAGATTAAATCGATGACCCTATTTAAAGTGTTTATCAGTTTAATTAGGAAATCAGATACGATAAGATTAGATAGAACTTTATCGGTCGTTTTGGGAAGGTTTCCTTTGGGAAATTAGGATCTCAATAAGTTATTATAGCACTTCTAACTATTCTTCCTGCTGTTAAAACTTCTTATTTCATGAGTTTTTAATGTTGATTCCTGATGCTTTAATTAAAAATGATGAGATCTAATCAAATTTTAACAAAAATAGTGAGCTCTTGAATTGTGAAATTGCTTTTTAAACCCAAGGAGCAACATTAAAAATCATACGCATGACTTTCTGAAATTAGATGACATGAGTCAGTATAATAAAAAAGCAAACCCTCTCTATACTAATACTCTTACCCTCTCCAAACTTGCAACATGGATTCCATGCACCACCATTTTATCCCCTACCCCCTCCTCCATCATCTGTCCGCTCCTCCTCCTCTATTCTCTTTTTTTTCTCTCACTGCCCTTGTCTGCACTCTGATGATCATCCCTGAACTCCAGCCTGGCAGATGGGTGAGAATACAGCTCCCAGCGTCAGGCTGAAGTCACTGAGGGGTTAACTTCACAGCAACGTCAGCTGTGTACCTCCTGCTTCGGCTGTCCCACATTCACATCCTCTGTATCTCCTTTGGCTTCTATACTTTCTGTCCCCTGCTGTCCTTTCAAGGCTCTTTGCTTGTCATGGAAAAGTCAAAGTGATTATTTTTTATAAATATAGACTAGCGCTGAGATTGTGTGAGTGGATGAACATTTCTGTTTGTGTGTGTGTTTGAGTAAATTCAGGTATAGGCTTCCAGACAGAGCAGGCAGTCCTGATGTGAAGTGACATGTTAAGAGAGCCAGCCTTTGGACACAGGCTGAGGGAAGGAGGGGGGAACAAATAAAAACAGACATCACCTTTATAAAAAGCTACAGCACCACTGCATCAGGGCAGCAGATGGTAAACCATTGCTCCAGCTCTCTTTACTTACTGTATCACTCCATTGCTCTCTAACTATGCAACAATGACCATTTTGTTCCTTTTCTTGATGAAAAGGAGAACTCAGACAGTATGAGCACTGATATGTTAATACAGTAGAGCAGCACTGAGACAAGCTAAGCCTGGGAGACATTAGCTTGTCTCATAGTATGAAAGAGAAGCTCCTCTCCGGACTATTTGCTTCGGTCGTCAGGATCTGGCCAATTCACCTGTCTGATTCGCTTACTGTTATGCATCCCTCTGCTGCCTTACCTGACCTGCTTTGACTCCAGCTGATACAGCATAGTGCTTGAACTAAAAAGAGTTGTTCAGAGGAACGACTGTATCTAACTTTAGCGTTATAGGGGCACAGTAAAGACACAGAAGCCTTGAGCTGGCAGGGATTCGGCGTCTTGCTCATGGACACAGCAGAAGGAGAGTTTGGCCCCGGGGTCATCTGGTTGGAGGACAGTCCCACAGCTCAATGCTCTACACTGTAACCAAGGTTAGAGAGTGCAGCGCTGTTTAAAGCATTACTTTAGGTCAGCATAGTGAAACAACTATTTTTTTTTATCACTATAGTAGCTTATTTTTGAACAAAAATAAATACATTGGCTGTTTTCAGCAGCACAAATAGCTCAAAATCACCATATTAAAATTCGTATTTTAATATGACCAGGGCTGACAGGATATCAGATTCTAAACTCGTGATTTTTTATGTGGCCATAAAATATCATAACAATATTATTGTGATATTTATAGTACTAACTCAATCAGTCAAATTGAGGAAAAAACACAGAAGGGTGGATCAACACATTACTACAAAAACTTTACTGACTAAATAATTACTTTACATGTCATCATCTATTTTCTAATCATTTAAATTTATGATTTATCATCAGCCTTGTGACCGAGGAGAGGAAACAATGCCTCACTGAACAGTTGTTTGTCATGCTTTTATTTTGAAATATCTTACAATTTTATTCCAATTCAATTCAGATAAGCTTTATTGGCATGTAAGTTAATATTGCCAAAGCATGAACAATATTACACATTGATCAATATATAAAATAATTAGCTTATTTATATAATGAAAATATTATTTTGATATTTTTAGATCTGCTTGCTCTTTTTGCTTCACTTCCTGTATGCTACATCTGGTAGATAGTAAGTTAGATAACTGAATAACAACAGTCAAAAAGCAAAAATGTTCAGTTGATTCATCACCTAAAGGGGAGGGGGGGGTCTGAAAAGTTGCTAAATCTGGCGACAAAGTTGCCAGGTTGGCTTTTTACTACTTTTTAAGTATCAAAAAACTCCTTATAGGACCTTTAAATATGACTATTTATAAATTATAACAAACCTTTTATTTTGTCAAGGATTTTTACATTGGTGATTGCAAAGCTGTGTAAAAAGCTTCTGTGCAGAACTTTTTAATTTGTGTTAATCTTTGTGGTTCCTGTGAACAAAGCGGTACCTCTTATATCCACTTATTTAGTCCTGTACATGTGTTCAAGTATTCTGCTTCGTGTAAATCCTTGCCATGGGAATAATAAAAATAGTCTGTTGCTGCAGTGCGCTGTAAATAACTCTGTTTGACACTCTCCCTGCAGCAGACATTGAAAATAATTATATTAATAAACTCGGTCTTAATTCCTAATGATTTGTTTTTTAATAGAAGGTTATAAAGAGGCAAGAGTATTAACTCGAGCCTGATTTATAACCAGTAAAAACTCATCACAGACGCTCAATCTAATGCAACAGTGTTACGTTTCTTAAGCATCAACAAGAAATTCAAGAGTTTATCCTTATAAAAGCAATACAACAGGATTTTCTACATCATCAGTATATCTGTGAGATATAAGAAGAATTCCTCACTCGTATGTGAAATAGGTACGTCTAATGACACAGCATCTTGAGGAATACTTGTGCACCTCCAGCACACCAACTACACGACAAGTACTCAAGATGACTGGGTAATTATAAGGCCCTAACTGACTGCTTTTGGAGACAGATGTTGTGTTCATGAATCTCGAAGCAGGTCGCATACCCAAACTGACTGCAAAATGAGACAAGAGGTCTCTTAGCCACAGTCAAGGTTCTCTGCTCTGACAAGAGAGCAGATGGCTGTTGGTGGGAATAACAAACCAGATCAGAGAGAGAAAGAGAAAGAGAGAGAGAGAGAGGACGCTGCAAATTCTCCACTCCAGCTCATCCTCCTACGCAGATTGCCTTTTCATGTTTTCTCTTGAAAAATGTTTTGATTAAAACAAAAAAGAACATTTTGTTGTTGTTTTTTTAATCACCCTGCAACACTGCGGTTCAAACATTTGGTTGCACAACGCACATGTTCTGTGCACGCCACAAACCCTCCCAGCCTCCCCCGAGCGTGTGAGCCTTACGTTGAAGTGACACTCTGTAGAATTGGGGCGAATTACAGACCGACTCGGTGAACTCAGTTACTCCCGTGGCTATGATGTGTTTGAGTTCATACAAGCATGTTTGAGTTTATTTTGCTGCAGCAGCTTGGCTTGTTGGCCTCCTATGAAGACTGTCTTGTAAGCGACTACATTAAAGTTGTATGACATTTGTTAATTTCTCAAGCGTGTCTTCTTGAAGAGCTTGCAGTTCATGATGAGTTTAAAACATCCATCAGAAACTAAACAAGGGGTTAAACAATTTTGGAAAATAATCTAATTGCAATTTTTTTCCTTAATATTGTGATTTTGATTTAATAAGCGATTCATTTTTCAGGGTCCTCCTCGTATTTATTTTTCATCAAACAAACAATAAATCAATCTGTATTATAGTAAACAATATCAGATTAATTAAACGCACCTTCATATACGTCATAGTACTGAGCAGTGTATGGTATCTGTGCTGTCATCAACATATCGGATGCCTTTTTCGTTGTTTTGCAGACGTGATTTGAAGTTGAAGCGCTGGTCGCCGCTGTTTTTCGCCATTCTAATATTGTACATAGGTTGTTGCGTTTTCTTTTAAGTGTTGATAAAAGTTTGTGGTGTTACCTCCTGATGTAGCAACAGTAGCACGACAGGTTCTGCACATGTTGCGCAGCAGCATCTTTTTTAGCCAAAATAAATCCACACAACTGCCGTGCTGCTCCTCTTTGGTACTAAACGTTCTGCAGTGTCAGCTTCTGTAGCGAAATCAGCCAATAGTGCAACAGAGAGCAATGTTGACTCTCTCTACCTGCTCTGCTCTGCTCCGCTTGCTTGCTAGTCAAGTGACTAGATCACATGACCAATTAAAAATCGCAGCCTTTGCGGTTTGAAAATTGTTTTATCATATCGCAATGTAATGCAATTGAACGTTCAGCCCTAAACTGAACCCTCTGCAAAAACACCAAACACAATACTAGGCGTGTCCGATACAACTTTTTTACTTCCGATACGATACCGATATTGTAACCTTCAATGTCGGCCGATACCGATATTGAGCCGATATTGGCACAAACGAAAAATACTGCCACAAGGCCGACATCACTCCTACTTCTTGCTACTTTGTTTGCACCTTAGTACACACTGTTGTTGTGATTTTGTGGGCTCTACATGCTGGATCCGGGCGCTGCTCGCTGTTTGTATTGGAGTGCTGATATCAGGAAATTTTAGATGCAGGCCAATATGATCCGATATTTGTTTTTTGGCTGATATCGGACCAATATCCGATATCAATATCATATCGGGACAGCCCTACATTATACTACCTTTAAGTTAAAAAAAGGGCGAACATTTACATTCAAATATGTTGGAAAGCAACATCTGGGTCACCAAGAATAGAAATTTATGTGCAAAGAAAGAACACTGTGCACAAAAGCTTCTAACGCTTAATACAGTTGTATTACTACTGGCCATACAGCATATGCCTCTCTTAACCAGCTTTTCTTGTAGAAGGAAATACACCAAACAACTAGACATGCTGAGCTGCACATCATAGCAAGAATAATGACTTTTCAGCAAAAGTCTGCTACAATAACTCCACTTCCTCCAGCCTCTCAGCCCACAGTATATTCTAAACAGATGGAATACAGCCAAAAAACATCCATTCACCACTGATCAATACTCACATAACAGAGAGATTAGGATAAATTGAATAACCCGTAATAAAAGCCGATTGAGTCTACGCTAAAAGAGAAAAGATTGCCACCTTCACCCCGGTGTTTAGAGAGGGCTGTATAAATGCTTTTCTATTTAAATCATTTATAGAGTCGCAATTGTTTTGGAGAGAAACGTTGAAAAGGCTGTACATCTTTGTAAGCAATTCTACAATGGGATTTATAAAAGGTCTTTTAGTAGCACGAGTGTATTAGTCAGTTCCTCTGGATGCTGTCTCTAATAAAAACCAACTCTGCCCTGGCTAAAATTAATCACTTCAGCTGGAGATCCACTCCACAAATGAGCGTAAAGAATACTTACACTTCCCTTGAGAGTGTTACATTCATTACTGACTGGCATCGTGTGACTATAAACATAAACAAATATGCACATACGATCATGGTTACAGCTGTCACCACATACGGGTAATGACAGTAGCTGTCTTTACTAAAAGATGAACTATTCATATTATGCAAACTGTAATATTGTGAGTTCATAGCTGAGGTCTGACACTCTGGTCACCATATGTCATCAAAAAAGAGAAGGAATCAAGGAGAGGCAGCAGACTGTGTAAGTTACCCTGAGAAATGACTCGGCACTTTTAAAACCTGAAATACCATGAGTCATTGTAAATCAAAATGCAGTGTTGGCCCTTGTCCCTCTTTAGGTTAGTAATTAAACAGTCATACTTTTCAAACCTTTGTTCAGCCGTTTCTCATTTATATCGCTTCAAAATAAAGAAAGAAATTTCAAAATAAAAGCATAGTTTTACAACATAGGAATAAAAGCAACCTAAACAGAAATAAAAACATGACAAACAACTGTTTGAAAAGGAAAAGGTCAAATTTAAGTCACAGAAATGGATGGAGATGTGAGTAAATTGTGTTTTTTGATTAAAAGAAATTGGACTTGTTATATTTGTAGATATTGTATATCCTATTGCTCCTATTGATCATTATTTACAAAAACTCAAATGAAATGCAAACACTTTGTTTCTATCTACTTGATATTACTGACAATTTGTAAAAAACTATGAAGTATGTTGAAAAAAATGTAATAGTTTTGAGATAAATTAGGGTCACACCACATGACATTTTTTAAGGCCACGGGCATTTCATCTATATGAAAAAACACTAAAATTGTGTAATTTAAAAATTTAACGTTAATTTTGTATACACAACATTCTTAGTGTTTGAAATTTTGCAAAATATATTCTTATTTTTGCTTTTTTAAAATTGGCATGTCCTTAACCAAAAACCTTATCAGTCATTGACCCTTGTACGAGAAATATAGAAGACTGAGGCCCCTGTTTGAAGGGTCGAAGGTCCGCGGTGGAATAGTTTTCAAGGTAAATCCAGCTCCCCTTTTGGCTGTTTTTAATTTCATAAACTGGATCCAAAGTAAAGCACAAGACACATACGCAAAGAGTTTGTATGAAAACTCCTGATTATTGACATGGGCTTTGGATAGAACAAAAATCAAACTTCTCAATGTTGTCTCCCATTTTCTTTAAAGCCAGGAGCGCCCAGAGGCGATCAGATTCCTTTTTGTTTCCAGAAGAGAGACTCTAACGGATCAGTCGAGAGATTTGCTGCAACTGTTCACAGATCAGACTTTGAAGAGGAACGGAAATTTGAAAAAAAGCTTATCCTATTTTATCGTGTGTTTAGAGCCAATGACACGCACTCCTCAGCCTGATAACAATGATGCCTCTCAATTTTTCAAAAATTAAATTCCACCATATCATCATCACATTGGGTTGACGCCGCCTGCACACGGCTTCCTAAATCTGATTAAATCGGACATGACTAGCATGACTGTTGAGTCATGCAAAATCGTGGACGACACACAGAATTGGACACACAACTAAAAGTGACACCGACAGGATGTCACTGACACGCATCATGTTTTTCCAGTCGGCGTGCGTTGAATAAGCGAGGCTGGTTTTGAAAAAATGGAGAGTCTTGTTGGGAAAAGTAACAGCTTGTTTTCCTACCTGAGACAGTCCTGACAATCTCGGAGGTGTTCCTCAGGCCCACAAAGGAGAACTGGTAGAGCCTCCAGGAGCGAATATCCCCCACCTCAACTGAGCTCCTCTTCCACTTGTACACAATCTCCTCCCTGGGGTATCCATCTGAAAGAAGAGAGAGTCACACTGAGCTTATTTAATAAAGAGAGGAGAGGGCCATGGTGGGAAAACACCTTCAAGTATTTTCAAAGACTTGCCTTAACTCCTTTTTCACACACGTCTGAAACAAACCTCTCAGGCTTTATGAAAAATGTGTTGGTGCACATTCAATATAAATCAAAACCACAGAGCATATTCTGTTTTGTTTCAGTCGAATTCATACCCACAAAGTCGGCGAGCTAGCTTGCACATTAACTGGTCATGAAAGGAAGTATTATATAACAGTCTCCAGCACAACATGTTGACAAAATATCCAGTCCATCTGTGAGGAGAGGACGCCTTTTTCTTTCACGCTGACTTGACTTCAAAGCCACAACTACTAAATTATTTTTTAACTCTGCATTATCGAAAATCAAATCATGACTATTATCAACTAATAGTACGTGGAATTACAGCTGAAAACGTAATCGATAACTGTCCTCCTGCTCCCGTGAATGAACCTGGCTGAATGTTTTTTGTGTTACGGTCTGAATGTAGCCATCTCCAGCTCCTTCAGCTCCACTCTGCTGCTGCTGCTGCTGTGTAGTGATGAGCTGTGTGCGGCCGGTCAGGGGAGGGAGCCGCTTGAATAATGCACATGAAACTTCCTCCGTGCAAACTTTAAATGGCTTTACGACTTAAGTGCTCTCAGACATCCAGTAATGCCGGACCCTCAGAGAGCGGGGCAGGGGGATGGAGGGATCTGCTTAGTTTGCCACATTACAGCCCCGCCAGACAGACATTACTGCCTCGACCTATTATTGATTAAGGGTGCTGTCGGGAAGCTGGATAAACGTCATAAATTCACTTTAGAGCTAGTTGTGCGGTTGTTTTTAAAAACAGCGTCTGTACTTAGAAAATTAAAAATTAGGAGCAGGCTTTAAAAATTACTGTATAACGCTTAAAACTGTTTGATCTGGCCTCAGTCAGTGGAAAAGAACAAAACCATTTTGCTCCACAAACCTTTAATTCTCTGTATCTTCAAGGCACGTGCTGAGAAAATATGCCGCGTGATAAATTGCAGCGCTCTGCTCTGCTCCGCCTGCCGCCTCTGAGACAGAGCTCATGAGCTGTACATCAAGCAGTGTTCAAAGTTCTCCAAACATCCACGGCTTTCATCAAATTTAAATGAACGCCTCTGTTCCATTTTTAGGCCTGCTACCCCCATGGTTTTGCTTTTCTTGTTGCTCTCAAGCTATTTAGGAAATGATCTCTCTGGAGAGTATCCCATGGTGCAACTCTCTGTAGATCCATGGCGGCCTCATTAGCATAACTTACCTCCCCAGCCACTCCGCACTCGGAGGGACTGACTCATTTGGACTCGTGTCACTTTTTGAAATGCCTTTTGGAGCAGTATTGACAAAGTGCAGGAAAATCAATCCGTGCTTTGCCTTTGGTCGCGTTGGCAAATGAGACATCTATTATTAAAGCTTTTTACTGAATGCCAGAGCATAGTGTGAATGAATGAAAGGTTTGACAAATGTTTTCACTTTGTAGCACGGATATTTATAATCTGTTAGATGGCTTTTTTCAAACAAAGGTAGCATTCTAACTCAATATGAGCATGAAGTTCTGCACAAATACCATATGGGCAAAAGTATAACATGGCCCTGATCATCAGATGAGCCCCCTTTTCAAGACTAAATAGGATTTATTTTGTATTTAAAAAAAAACTTTTAGGATGAGGATAATTAAAACAGAATACACTGAATTAGTTCTCAGTTTTATTGTCTATTTTGGCTAAATGGAGACAAACTATGATCCAGTGAAGATGAAGCGCTCACGATTATTACAGTGTTTTTATTTGATTTTATTAGTTTTTCACTTAGCTTTAGTTTACTTTTACATGCTCTCTTTCTGGGCTTCCTATCTCCTGACTTTACACTCTGTAATGTCACATTTCTTTGCCTTTTTTTGCCTATTTTCTTAAAAAAACTTGACCTCAGTTGTTGGTTAATTTGTCACACTTTCGGGCATCTTGGCTCACTGTGTCACTCCATCATCTGGGGTTAATATGTTTTGGGTTTAAGTGTGTTTAGCTTAAATACACATGTAATGTGACGGTTAAAGGGATATTCGGGCTTAAAATTAAGTTATGGTCAAACAGACCGTAAGACCTAGTTAGACAACCCTTTGAGAGATGATTGTTGTCGACTGCTCTCTTCTTTAGCTATACCAACTTCAGCAACGACTGCACAATAGCAATACACAGCGGTCACTCACCCACTCACCACTAGCAGCCGCTTGTTTGTAGGGGGAAGCCCCGACGAGTCGATCACCAAGTGCAGCGGATCATTTCCATGAAGTAATAATCATCATAATAGTCATTTTGCACTGCAGACGTGGTAGTTTTTATGCCTAAACGTCTCGGTCTGATTGCATTTCCATGAAGTAACGATCATAAATGTTCTTCCTTGAGCTGCGAAACTCCGCTGCACTCCATGATCGACTTGTCAGGGCTTCCCCACAAACAAGCGGCTGCTGGAGCAGAGTGGGTGAGTTGTGTCTGGTCTCTTTGCTTAAGAAATTAGGCAAAGCTAAAAAGCTGTTTGGTGGCTAGTTCTATGGCTGGGACCCTATATGTACTGTTGATGAAGTTAAGTGCTGTTCTGAGCATCATTTGTGGCTATAGAGTGGCTTTTTAGTTAAGCTTTGCACATGGAGACGTAGACCGCTGTGTATTGCTATTGTGCGGTCGTTACTAAAGTTGGTGTAACTAGAGAAGGAAGCAGTCGGCAACATTTATCTCTTGAGGGGATGTCTAACTCGGTGTTATCGTGTCTTTGAACCTAACTTAAAGTTACACCGGAATATCCCTTTAAGATTGGTTGTAAAGGCATCCTTAAAAAACTATAGCATGAGCTCCTTCATTTTGCCTGTTGCATAATTTTCCCCTGTGATGTCTTTGTTAGGCTCATATGTTGCTTTTTATGGGAATGGCGGTAGTTGGGTATGTGTGTGTGTGTGCGTGTGAGTCTGTGTGTGTGTGAGTGTGTTTGTACTGAAAGAGAGGAAGAGAGGGAGGGGGAACACAGTGGGGTATGAGCATATGGCCAAACTTACAGCTTGAAAACTCCAGGGGACATGAGTGCTCATCCATTGGGAAGTTGTTCAGTTTAAGCTGGCACTCGGCGTCGATCGTCAACCTGCCGAGACACAATATTTACATCCACTGACTCAGTTAATGATGCAAACCAGCTTGGTACAAAACAATGATTTACAGTAAGAAATCCCTAACCTTATCATCACTGACACAAGGAATAATTAATTAAAATTTTACTCAACCAAATTGATGTTTTTTTAGAGCAACGCACGCATCCTCTGCTTTTCATACTCGAGAGACTTTGAAGACAAAGTCATTAAACTTCCTCTTAATGAGAGAACGACCTTAAATGACATTACCTATCCATGCACGCGCCATTGTCATGTATCATTGTCCTCCCAATCACAGCGGTCATCCTAATTAACCAGTGGTTACATTCAGAGTTCCTTAACAAATTAATGAAGTGGAGGGATAGTGTTCTGCATAGAGGAACATCCATCACGGCTTGATTGAGTCCAGAAGAGTTCATTTTCTCTCCTGTTATCACTGATGATGTACTCAGGTGTTACGATAAACATCTGCTGCATATGATCTCATGCTAAATATAATTATGAACATGATTTACAATTCTTTAAATCCATCCTTTTGTTTACAGGAGCCGTCTCAATAAGAGTCAGTGCTTTTGCTCTGAGTCTTCACACAGCTGTGATTGGTAAATGGTAAATAGACCTGGACTCAAATGGCTCTTTCCTAGTCACAACCACTTAAAGTGCTTTTACGCAACTCACCACATTCACCAAATCTCATCACATTCCCAAGGATGCTGCCCTTGGGAACCATTAGGGTTCATCAAATCTGTTCATAAACATTCACAGGACCTTCTTGTCCTCTAAAATCTCATCCTGATGAATTTTTTAAGAGTAAAATTCATCAATCTTGTCACTGATGGCCTTCTGTGCTTTTGTATATCATTAAAAGGCATCAATAAGAATTTCAGTCCATTATGTAAATGTGAAAAAATCCCTGACAGGAGCTTTAAGGCACACCAAGTCCCAGATATCAGCACTTAGTGAATAATTCTTGTCCAGATAACTCACTCAGGATAAATTACTGAATGCATCACAATTAGAATGCAGCTATATCATCATAACATGATAAAATCTGGCAGCATTAACAGAGACTTCACTTTAAAACAATTAAAAACAAGAGACCTTCCCAAGCATGAATACATACAGTGAAAAAGGCATAATCATTCTCTTGAGGTCTGATTCCCCATGCTGGGTTGCCTAAAAACATCAGTTCAGGTCTAAAACAGATCCCCTCTGACCCCCACTGAAAACTTCCTGACCCTTTCAGCTGCACAGAGCTTCTGCAGGCTAATTAATGCTGATATTTAAAACGGCCCAGGGCTGATAATCACTCAGATAACCACTATCATGAACCATTTGTGGAGACAGGCCTTTAAGTGTTGGGTACTTCGAGATGTTTTGAAAGTACATGCTTCATGCCTTAATGGCTAGCTGTGGTTCGAAAGCTCGATAATGGCAACACATTAAGACGACGTTTACACGTGCCCGGCTGTTTTCATAAACGGACATTTCACCCTCTCTGTTTACACAAGTATGTTTTCAGAGTTTTCGTTTACACTAACCCATGTACATATGCCGTAAAGAGCACACTAAACCTGTAGGTGGCAGTGTAGCAAGAAGCTCAAGCCCACATTAGCCAATCAGTTGTCTCTGCTCCTCCACATCGTACAGCACTTGTATTTACAGAGGCAAACAAATATAAGCGGATTGCACCAGCATAAATGCGACTGCTATTCTGCATGCATCCATGATCAGCATAGATTGTAAACAACCTCCCATTTAATCCAATATCTCCACTCTGGCCGGAGTTTTTAAAAAGCATCATTTTTAGGGGCAAATTCTCCATTTGCGTCTAAATGAAGGGTGCAATTGATGGTTAATGTCTCCTTTTTTTTAAATAGCGGGATACGTATAAACAGGGCCAAAGTATAGTGCAAATAAAATGTACGGCCCTGAAATGTTACAACTTCTTGATCTAGTTTTAATGCATGTATTAGAGACAGACAACTTTGTTTTTTTCTGTGTAATTTTGATCATTTTTGTTTTATGAAGGGTAAAGTAAGAGTAATATATTCAATCGTTAATATAAACTGATTTTGTAACTGCATGATTTTGCTGATATTCCAATTGATCACACCATCATTCATACATGAACAGGATCAATCTTGATGTGTTTCTTCATTAATAAGTCATCTTAAGCATCGCTGATATTTTACCTGAGGGTGTAGAGTATCCGACCATCGTTCCAGATTCGAAGCATGCGATTGGGTGTGGTGATCCAGTGGGCGTCAGCCTTTTTCGAGTTGCGGAAAAAAGTGTCAGGGATCCAGATCTTCCCGACCATGTTGCTGTTGAGGCGCAGGACCTTCATCGTGCTGTTGAATTTTAACCTTCTGTCATACCAGGTCTGAGCGAAAAAGATGTCGATGGTGTACTCCTGAGGAAAGATGAAAATATCACATTTGTGTTTTAGCAGATTCGTAATATTGAACTTTCCGGTTTTTAAGCTGACAAGAAAACAGGACGGAAAAGTCTCTGTTTGAGAGGGAAAACCCCAGCAAACATTTGTGTTTGCAACTGTTGCTGTCGACAATGTGCGGCTTTTAACTGTGTAATGCAACAACATCGGATTGAATGTGGGCTGCGAGTGCACTCCTCTGTTTCTTCTGTCTATGCCAACGGAAACTAAAATGCTGTAACACATTTGCAGGCATACTTTCCTCTGACAAGATGGTGTCTATCCAGGCCAACAAGTCCCTTTGTCCCTGCTAAAGAGTTCTGTTGAAAAAGACCGTCTTGGCGCCCTCAACCTGAAAATTAAATGTTCAGCGGGGCAATTAATAATTCCCCTTGTTTGGCTCAAGTATTATCTAACCTCATAACCCGCTGCCTTGGCAGCACTTTGTCCTGAGCCTGACAAAACCTTCTGTCTGCTATTCAGCCCCTCTGAGAGCTGCACTAAACGTACATATGAGGGATGAAAACGCGAGCGATAGACGCCTGGGCAGAGTTGAAGAGCTCAGAGCAGAGGTGAGATGCGGTCTAGTGTGAAACAGGGAGAATAAAGGCGGTGAGTGAGAGGAAGCTATCAGTCTTTCTTATTTATTTTGTTATTTGGAATGGTTGAGCCCTACGGTTCAAAGTGAAGTACAGCAGGGAGAGAGAAAAAAATCAGGGGATTTGTGTGCAAGAGGGCATAGAGGCATTAACTTCCTGACAAAGCTTAGCCCAACAATAAAGCCTAAATCCATGCCAAAGAGTCCCAAACGAGATTTGAAAAACAACATTTTCAGCAGGCAACATTCCCATCCTTTCAGCATCCTTTTATTTATTTATTTTTTTCACAAAACATAGAGTGACAGTTCAAATCCAACAATGAGAAAAAGACTGAATGCTCCAGGATCCTCATCTGGGCCCTGCTGACTGAGATAAATATCTACTTTTTTTTTTTTTCCTTTAACCCATATACACTCTTGGATCTTCCACAGAATCACACTCCCTCCATTTCATTTCATCTAAGAGCCGCTCATCTCACCAAAGCACCACTAATCTATGATTCCTTTTCTTCTTCAGAGACACTCTGTTCCACCTTTCCCTCTCTCGTTCGACTTTCAAAGATTCCTGACGCACAATTAAAAATTAAAAGTTGTCTTCACGCTCGGATGCTCCTCAGAGATCCGACCTCCTCTCGTTTGCCGTGTCATACTGTGAAGGCGACGGCCCAGTCACTCTGATTACTCAAGAATGTGTGGCAATCATTCAACGTCTCATGTAACCACACACATCACACACAGTGAGGAGCACAGATACACGTTTTCGAACCAATCCCATCAATGCCTTCCTCTCTGGCTTCACTGTGACTGCAGTTATTGAGAGTGGGTGTTTCAGCTCAGACTTAGTTAAATGAAACGCCACCACCATGTCGAGCAGACTGCTCTGCAGAATGACAATAGAAGTGGGTTCACAGCAGGAACATGCGACAAAAAACAATGACATTTTAACAAGCTGATGTGAGATTTTCCAGCTCTTCTCTTACTCTCACAGACTTCATTTTTGCTCCACACTTCAAGATGATCCGTGCTGACCTATTTTGGTTGCAACTGCGGCACAATCACAAGAAATTCCATACTATTTGTATTCTAGCAACATAAGGTATGTGAAGGAAACAACAGTCTTTGGCGGTGGCAATCTTTTTGAATCCCATGGCTGTAATGTGGTGATTCAGCCTCCTCCAACAGTAAAATAATAGTTTTAATGATGAGGGTACATGAAATTTGGAAGCTGATAATGAACAAAAAAGCAGATCTCCCACACGTTGGCAGAAATGTATGTGCATCTTTGTAAGAGTAACATATCAGATGCTACATAGGCTTGGCTTTGCAGATATTTCAAGCTAGATGCTTCTTTTAACAGAAAAAATGTCAAGAAAAGGTAGTGATATTGCAACTTTATAGTTAGTTTCCCACTCTGACTGTTTTTTTTTTTTCGCTGTTTAGAGTGTTCTTAGTGGTCTTTAAACTGTGATTATAAGGTTTTGGCCAAAATCATGTTAACTGTCATTTTTAAAAGCTTTTTTTTCTGCAGAGCTCCAATAGATCATTAGCAATTCGCCTCTGAGTCATGGGCAGAGACAGCGCTTCTCTGAACACTCCTCTTCATGCTAGCTTGTAGCATTGCTAGTGTAGTACAAGTAGCAGGTAACATTAGAACTATTGAGCTCTCGGACACTAATGTCTTTGGGGACATGATGAAAGTTAATATCATAATTGGCATTCTTACGAACATTGCAATCTGCTAACGCACACGCTTGTGCCACGATTGTCCTCTCTACTTCTCTTAGTCTGGCCTGCATAGCGGGGCTCTGGGGGTGGAGCTTGGATTTGTGATGTAAGAAATCTCACTGTGTCAGAGCCTGCTGTTTGGGTCTGTGAGAGATTCACAGCGATTTGAATGAAGAAATACTCAGAATGCTATTTTGCATTTAGTTTTCTCACGATATGTCCCGTAGTATCAGAAAAATGCCATATGAACATGTAGACAACAAGAAAAACATTATTTTTTTTATCGGAGTGGGTCTTTAAGTGGACTTAATGATTGTCATCCTTGCTTTTTAGCACTGAAATTACTTATTGGTTAAACTTAATATTACAATTTTTTACATTGTAGGCCCAAAATGCTGCCAACCAACCTACAACTATGAGGCTGTAGCTGTTTATTGCTGCTACTCTATACTCTTACAGTCTACTACCCGGATGAAAACAAACACAGACGACAGATGGTATCTCATAACAGTTTGATAATATTTTGAGCTAGGAAATGGAGATTAAGTCCGATGTGCACAAATGCTGTTTAAATTGGGCAAAATTTTGACTGTTTGACAGTGAGGTTAGTCGCTTCAGAACATGTCAACCAGACCTTTCATGCATGCACTCTAAAGTTATTTCACTGCTCTTTGTAGACTAATCAAAACTGTTCAAAGAGGGAAAAAACAATTTTTTTAATAAATAATTGGTGTGGAAAATAAACAGCACTGCAGTTGATAAACATAAATTCAATTAGTGCAATTTTAGAGAGTCACCCTAACTTTGACAGACAGCAGTGATCAAGAGTCGGTGTCTTCAAACAGGACCCAAGGAAATCCACAAACTGTTGATTTGAACGAACCGAAGAATTCAAAGAGGTAGCACCTCGGATTGAAGCTGATAAAACTCTTGGCAACGACATTAAAAGAACATTTCTGTGTTTGCCATTTGCAAATGTGCTTCTTGTAAATCCAAACAAACACAACTGGACAAGTGTTGATCAGAATTCCTTTAAAATAGGAGCTGTTTTATGCAAACACATGCAATGGATGGACATTAATCCACAGAGGTGCAAAAGGCCGGTGCAGTCATTAAACAGCTGATTGACACTTCTCTAGTGTTGCCACACTACAGGGGCAGGGGGGGCAGCATAGTCATTATCTGGACCAACCAATCTGCAATGACAGTAAGGATCTGCTTTGCTGAGGTGTGCTTGAGCAAGACACAGAACCTCTGCCAGCTCCGGCTAAACTCTACACAAACACAAATTCAGTGAAAGCATGCTCTTCTTTGGCAGTTTTCAATAACAGTAATGAAACAGTGACGTCATATTTTCATATCACTCACCATATTGATGGCATTAACTGGCCCGATGCTGTTCACAAACATGTCCGTGTGGATCACTGTTGGTTTGACTGCAAAGAAGAATGAGAAAAAAGATTAAAATGATGAGAGAGGGAATGTTATGTGGATAGAATACAAGTATTGAAAAAGTGACGTATCATTTTGGTTGATATTTTCATCACCTATAATAAAAAAAAGGGAAATGTCCAATAGCTAGGTGAAAAAAAACAAGATTATGCAGCAACATCTTAAACCTCACACTAGGGCTGCACGACTTTGGCCAAAATTAAAATCACGATTTTTTTCTCTGAAAACTTGTTTAGATTTTGATTTTGGTTTTTATTCAGTGACAACTTCTCCAAACTTCACATTAGAAATAAAAAGTTTTTCTATCCTCTCTCAAAGCAAAACCACTGAAAACAATGTGGTGCATATGCCAAGCCAGGGGGAGCCTACCGTGGCCTAGAGGCATGAGACATAATAGAGAAGAAAACAAATTTGACCAGTTACATTTTTTTTTACATCGTCATAATCAAATAATCGGATTAATCGTGCAGCCCTACCTCACACTCTCAAAACTGCAAAGTGAAATGGCGAAACAAAAAAACGAAGATTAGGAGTAAAACAGCAAAATGCAGGCAGTATACACAGAAAAAACCGAGAGACATTTGTATCATGAGAGGGGAACTGAACATACAATGTAATCAATACATAATTACACAATATATTGAGCTAACACCCTGGGGGCTGTCTGATATTTTACAGCATATTATTCCAAAACTGCATTACATGACCAACAAAGACAAACATGAAACAAGATCTTGACCTTGACATTTTCTTGTTTGTCTAGTTTCCAGGATGGTTATGTAATCAATCATCGATGCTGTAAACGCCTCAAGGTGTTTGTGTAATTTAGTTTTGATGATCTGCTTCGTTTTAAGAAGCTTGATTGGCTAAAAATGCATAACTAAGGTAGTTTTATTTTAATGTCTTGACAACACCACTCTGCTTTCTCACTTGCACGTTGCACCAAGGCCACCACCATGCATTATTATGCTCTTGGTGCCTTTACTACACACCAGTTTTGAGTGATGATCAGACGGAGTACAGCTCAGGAAACTGGACAGCTCTGTCCGATCCTTAAAGCCGGCTTGAATTGTCTCCTACATTTTAAACTGATGCTTATGTTTATGGATGACTGGATTTTATACCTGAGAAACAGGTAGGGATTCAACTGGCCTCCAGGCTAAATAGGAGAGCTATAGTGAGAGTGGGGGGATGGACAGGGGAAGAGGATGCGGTTTTTCATCCATTTTTCATGTCACTCACAGGCATACATGTATCTGCATCGCAACTTTAGCCTCGGACACTCTTAAAAATGTATGAAAAAAGCACATAACACAAACATACACAAGTGAACGCTCAATGTTGGCCCTGGTTTTTGTTACACAGAAAGTTGTCATAAAAACTCGTGCATGTTTTTGCACTGGGATCATACATCTGGACTCTAAATGTGTTAAACCTGAGTGGTAATTTAATCGAATCGTTTCCCAGGTTATGGGCATGGCATGAAGAAAAAATTTGATAAATTACAAAAATGTGCCTTGTTTGCACAGCCAACTGGAGAGTGGATTTATCTCATAAACTCGCTCACAGATGCCAAGAAAACATTATTCCGTGATGCCAGTGAACATAAAGTGGCTTTGCTCGTATATTTGACTAGCTTTCAGAGACAACATCGAATATGCCAGCACACACGCCCTAGCATCCTAATAAAAATCTGGTCGATTCAGCGAGTGGACTCAGACCATATGCATCCACATACATTAAGAATTAGCAAACAAACAACGTAGTTAAAATTTGAAAGCCAATAACCTTGGTCAATGTCATGGATGTATTATGAATGAAGACTTGGAGGACTGTCAGATTTCCTCCCCCCTCTCATCTCGCTCACTGTCTCTGTCCTATTTACTTGGGTTTTATACATACAGTAGACTCCAGGGGCATTAAAAATTAAATGAGCATCACAATGGACTTCAAAGGGAGACTGTGGCACAATCGGCAAAGAATCTAAATCTGCTGCATTTCAACTTTGCTCTGCCTGGTTGAGATTGCTCGGTTGATTGGTTAGCGGATCCGATGACAGTATAGCCGGCTAATTATAACCCCACTGTAGCTGTGTAACTTGGCAGCAGCTGGGAGACCAACGCTGCGAGAGCGAGATCATAGCTCGTTTGAAGATGATGGCTAAGACGGTGGCAGCCGGCCGCCCGGCTACACGGCAGCTCTTCTGCGTTGAAGCGGCGCCTCAAAGCAGATCTGAGCTGCTCTTGAATTTATAGCGCGAGCCGGCTTGTGAAGTCTGAAGAATACAGATGATGCCCTTCATGAGATGTGCTCAGTGTACGGAAAAACCATGAAAGTAGCTGAGTGTGAAGGGTTTGCTCATCTGCTTTCATGTTGAGCCATCACTGAAGTCTATTTATTAGTCATTATTTAAAGCTGCATGAGGTCAATCCCCTGCAGTGGATCCTCCGGCTGTGTGTCTTTTTTTTTTTCCCGGCAACTATTAATATTTGTGGTAGGGAAGTCAGCGAGGGACTGTGGCTTTTTGTTGCGCTTGGAGGTGAGGAAGCAGTTGATGAGGCAGCACATTTACAACACCTCTTCTCTCAAGGTTTGGGGCCATGACAAAAACTGAAGCATATCTCAAATGGTACGTAAAAGAAAGCAATTAGCAGAGTTTCGCAGCTCAAGGAAGAACATTTATGATCATTACCTGACGGAAATGGATTGAGACCGGACGCTAAGGCAGGAGAACTACCGCGTCTGCAGTGCAAAATAATTAATATGATGATTATTACTTCATGGAAATGATCCGCTGCACTCTGTGATCACCTCTTCAGTGCTCCTTCACAAACAAACGGCTGCTGGAGGAGAGTGGGTGATTGTGTTTGGTCTCATTGCTAAAGAAACCAGGCAAAGCTAAAAATATGTTTGATGGCTATTACTATGCCTGGGACCCTTTATGAACTGTCGATGAAGTTAGGTGCTGTTCTGAGCATTATTTGTGGCTATAGATGCCTTTTTTGGTTGAGCTCGTGGCTCCTGGGACCACTGTGTTTTGCTATCGTGCGGTTGTTGCTGAAGTTGGTTTAACTAGAGAAGCAAGCAGTCGGCAACATTCATCTCTCGAGGGGGTGTCTAACTCGGTGTTGCGGTGTGTTTGACCCTGACTTAATTTTGCGCCGGAATAACCCTTTAACTACTGCCATTCCTTGCAATCATCAACATAACCTGGAATATAACTCCAGGCAAACAAGGAATGTGTAAAATGGCTCAACTCTGACTGTGTGGCATTGACTGATTAAAATGGAGCGGTCTAACTGCAGCATTGAGGCACTTCTCAGTCAGTACCTTTAAAGTGAGTAAAGAAGCAATCTACTGCCAGCCTATAGAGTAGCGTGTCTTTATTACGCCTTCAGAATATGTGACAGATCCTGACTACAGCCAGTTTTCAGCACAATACTGTCCCATGAATCAAGTTTTCAAGGGTACTGAATATCTTCCTGTTCTGCTCTTGCAGATGGACGTGACAGGCTTTAGGATGTATGTGCACTTGTGTAGACAAGAGAGGCCTGCCCGGCCGTCTGTCAAAGCGAGGGGAGTTAGCAACTTGTCTGCCTCTCACAACAGAAAGGCAAGGCCTCCAGCAAGGCAAAGACAGACACCTATCAAGGCCATACAACATGTAAATAAAGTAACACACACTTAAAAGTAACCCTGGCGGCCTGTCAAAACACAACAAAAACAACACACAAGGACATACTTTACAGCCCAGTAGGCAGTGATAATGAACTGTGAAACATGTGAATATTTAATCCTCTCTAGGTTCAATTTCTACACCCTGAATTCAGTGAGTATGAGCAGGCAACCCGGCTCCAGCTGGACTACCATTTTCATTTCATGCCATTAAAAAGTCATTATTTCTTATCATTTTGCAAATTTGGAGCAGAGACATTTGAAAACGTATTAGGTGGAAGGACTAACATTATTACTAGCTACCACCTGGTGAGGAAGAGGTCAGTGTCAGAAGAAGTATTGGGGTACTAGCTTTGAAGTCCCATGTTACCCTCCGACTTGAACAAAGCGAACAGGAATAATAAATGATTAAAACGGTGCAGATTTATAAGCCTTCATAATGAGACTGTTCCGGAGATCTCACTTTCTGGTTGTTTAAAATTCTAAAACGAGAAGTCTATAAATAGAAACGCTCAAGAAATAGTCAGAATTGAGCACTGTTACTTTGATACAGCCAAACAGGTGAACTTAATGGTGCCTAATGGTGCCGAAGACCTGTTTTAAAACTCAAGGAGACTTGGCCTTTAAGACCGTAGTCCCTCGACTTTGGAACGATCTGCCCCTCTCCCTCTGTTTGATCGACTCAATGGATACTCTCGAAAAGCAGTTGAAGACTCTTTTATTTAGACAAGCTTTCAATTAACAGGGTTTTGTTTGTCTCTTTTACTAATCTTTTACATCTGCACTCATTTCCGTTCTCACCTGTACTGTATTCGTATTTGTGTCTGTATCTGTACTTATCTTTTGTACCGTCTATGCTTATCTAATTGCACTTATTTTATGTACAGTGCTTTTTGATTCTAATCCGTGAAAAGTGCTCTATAAATAAATTTTACTTACGTACGTACTTACAAAACACAATGGCAAATCAGTAAACACAATGGTTAATGTCCCGTTTTCTGTTTTTGTGTTTTGTTTTTCGATTTGCCGTTGTGTTTTGCACCTCAGGGCCACCGTAGCTCACAGAATCTGCAGCCTAACAAGTGTGGCTACCACACAGCATCTGTTTGACTGTGTGTATTTACACCCAGGTAGTTAAGCATTATGGCAGTAGTTATTAACTGGAGCTGCAGCCTTGGTTAGCAGCAGGTGGCTGTGATACAGCTTAGACACAACACATGGCTAGCATAACAATGACCAGCTGACTCGTGCCAACTGGTGAAAGTGACAATGTTGAGTCATTTCATCAACTTCACACGCACTTTCTCTCTTCACTTGAATGTATTGATAGTATTTTAACAAATCTCAACCCAGTTTCACATCCTTACAAGTCGCTTTCATGACCTCTTGAAAATCTACCAACTCCATAAATGTTGTTAGCTGTCGATAATAAATTCTGCCACTACAGTGATTTACTGTCCACACCAGAAAAAGGGGAAAATCCTCTCCTTTTCTAATCATGTTTCTAGACGTTTTGCCATGTGACTTGCAGCCAGATTGATTCCAAACATCTCTGTTGTCGGGGAAAATCTGTAGTCATATATTTTTTTTTTTTATATCTTTGGGAAACCCTGTCGCTGTCTAAAACAGTGGTCATTTCCATTTGATGTTAAATCCTCTTGTTTCCACCGAGGGAAACATTTGATCCTTGTGCGTGTGAAATCCTCTCAAACCCAGTGAATAATGACACAAGGCTGTTGTCGTCAGCCTGCGGTAAACAACAGGCTGTTTTCTCAGCTCTTTTCCAGCTGATGTCTCTCTTCTTTAATTTAAAAAAGTACCTCGTCTCTGCAAGTATGCGCACATAAAAGCCTGACTAAATGTGTGTTTTATAGTGAATAAGTGCTTCCTCTTACGTTGCAAAAAAGTGCCTTGAGATGCACTACCTCTGATTGCTGCTCGAGTCCAGTTCCAACAAACAGAGAGGCAACACCTCAGAGAAATAGTCCCTGGATCTAATGACGTTTTGAGGACAATAGATGCATTCAGGGAAATAAATTTGGGGATTGGTTTGCATTAATTGATGACTGTGTCTGGCTTCAAGCGTTACACAATCATGGATTAAATGCTTTCAGGATCTAAAATAGTCCCACGCGTCAGCAGATGCTGTGACCCCACGTTTTAACACCAAATGGCTGCGGTACATCGGTGTAACCACGTCTGACGGTTACCAGCAGCATATGTGTTTGATTTGGCCCCCAAGCTTGGCTTCATTCCCGACTGATTCAGTGTCTAAACCAATCATCTGTGAAAAATCTGCGCCCACCTCCAATGTCAGGTCTGAGTTTGTTGTCGTATCCATGTAGTAGGCTGTTTAGGATGTGTGTGACGTCGCTCTCGTACACTTTTGGAGTCAGCACCCACGTCTTGTTAGACACCTCGTCATCGTCATCGGTCTGGAAGGAGCTGCGGGAGGAGGAGAGGGAGAAAAACCATGAAATCAATCATTTCTTTTGAGGCGCGCACTCTGTCTCCTCATGAAGAAACACGAGGGGAAACACTGTGATGGAAAGTCTTTGGAAGATTTCAACTTGGTAATATTTTCAGGGCCTTTCATCACCTCGAGATTGCAACTGTAGAGATCGATGGAAATTTTCCCCAACATTTCATTAAATAAAACAAAATAAACGCACAAAATCTGCTCAGAAGAATAAAGAGAAGTATGATAATAATTTGAGATTAACAAATAAATCATCTTTGATACATAGCCAACAGTTAAATAATGATATCCCGCGATATTCACACCACAGACCATTCAGGGCCCAGTGCTATGGTGAGGAGTCTAACCCTTAATGTATTTAGACCAAATTAGATAAGACAGACTGTCGTAATCTGATGCTGGATGTGAAAATGAGATGAAAGGGCTGAACTTATCTGAACTTTATGCTGCAGATGTTTGCTTTGCTCTTAACTTTTGTAGTTTTTACAGTCCTGTGGATTGTATCTTCTGGTTCTTGTGGGGTTTTTTTGTGGCTTGTGCCAAAGAAAAAGTTCTTGAGCAGATCTTCCAAAAAGTTGATTGATTTACCTATTTGTGTCCTCCAAATATCAGGGAAAATATCTGTATGATGTTTTAAAACCGACTCTAATGGGCTGAGCTTGCTTCCACTCAGCTGACCCCCACTCACCAAACATCTCCTGAAGCCAATTTGGATTACTTTTCCTCAGTTTAACAGAAAGGCCACAGCAACAGCACCGCTAAATGTCTTCCTGGTGAATTTGTTTCTTATCCCCAGATTTGAAGCAAACATTCAAGTTAAGGTGGTACTACATAACTACCAAAAAATGTATTTTTCTTTAACTAAAGTCTAGTTTTCTTTACTCTTTCAAAAAGTATCACTGAACAGCATTTCATTCTGAGGCAGCCTTGTCATATCTAAAAACAGCCTTTCTAAATGTGATTAAAGAAATGTAAACAGCTGTGAAAATGATACTTTAACTGAGGCCCAAAGCTTGTATATCCATGTCCAAGGAGGCCCTTAATAACAACTACGGCTCTTGTGCAATTTAACCAAGTGACTTAACAGAAATAATGAAGAGAAATTGAAAGATGGGGAAGTCGAAGAAATTGATGAGAGAGCTGTGAGTTTGCGACTATACCTCAAACGTCCCACACTAAGAGGATAATGATGTCTCAGGAGCCCACAGACACTAACACCACTATTCCAATGCTATTTTTTCCCCAGTATCCTGTCATGAATATGTTTTCTTCTACTTTTGAAATGTAGATTTTTCAGGTTGAATAACTAAAAAAATGAAGGTGATCGAACGATTATGTATCAGGAAAAAATAATGTGTGACAGGAAATGTGGCATAATTACACTTCTTTACAGGGGGGAGGGGGTGACACTGGTGTTCTGTAACGGAAAAAGACAAATGAGACCAAAACCAGAGGTACTTAACATCTGTCGGAGGATTAATTTGTTCTGGCATTAAAAATGAGGTTCATGATTTTGCTCATGACATGGTCACAAACATCAAAACCACTACACAATGAAATATGAGTCTATAAGCTTGTAGTTTCTGCATTTATAGTCAAAGTATTTATCGGTAATACAGTGTATATGATAGGAAAACATTTTAAGTCCTAAATTTTTCTGTTTGCGCCTCTAAAATTTCAAGTTAGGGGCCACTGTGCTCCAAGTAAAAAAAAAGTTTGTCTGGAGTCCTGAGATTTGCACATTCTCTACACAGAGAAGACCAGGGTAACACTGAATTAAATGAGCAATCAAGCAGAAATCTATATCTGTATAAGTGCTATCTACACTGTATGCATATGCATTAAAGAGACACGCCTTATGTGGTAATTACATTCAGGTTGCATCTCTGGTGATAGGAAATTTGCATTTTCCGCTGATTGATTGGAACTGCAGTTTTGTCTCTGAGCGCATGGTGCGAAAAAACACGCAGGTACATAAAGGGAAAGGTGATAACTTGATAGATAGAGATAAACAGACAGAAATAAACCAATTTTTGAGTTCAGTCGAACCCTCAAGCCTCTACTGCCCTTGATAAATTATGCAACTCCAGTTACCATAAAGAAGCAACCTTGAAACAGTCCTGAGCTTTTCACTGAGGCTGTGGAGCAATGAGAGGGATAGAAAGCTCTGAATGAAATAATAAAGAATCGGAGATGGTGAGAAAAGAAGACACTGTTTCCATGGTAAAGCACAAGGACAGAAGCCCTGATAGCTTTCTCATGTTCTCAGGCTGGGTGTGAGGACTCATACTGGACCACCACTCTGCCTTAGACTGCGTTAAGTGCCAACAAGTGCCATCTCTCCCAGAATACTGGACTCTATCTTATTTTACCCCGGGTAGACTCGTTTAGGTTTTAAAATACCCAAGGTGCACCTGCCTGTGGACAGATAGAGAGAAAGATTGATGGATAAATGGGAATACAGCAAGAAGGATAGACAGTGATGTACTGACCGCAGTGGACTGACATAAATAGATGCACGATCATTGACAGATGGATGTATGTAGATCGCAGGGACATGGGCAGAAAGGAAGATGGATAGTAGGGCTGAACAGTTACGGCGCAAGTAGTGAAACATTCACCCTGATGTTTTTTAGCCCACCAAAACCCCAAGTATAAGTATTATGAGGTAAAGTAAATTATCTAAGCCTACATTCATTATATCAGAGTGCAGTTAAACAATGTTGGTCTTTTTGACCTCAGCTTTTGTTTCCATATCTTAAAGTAACTTCCACTAAGGCTGCACGATATTGGAAAAAACTAACATTGCGATTTTTTTCAACCCTGCGATATATATATTGCGATATTAAAAGATACAGGAATTTTCACCAGATGACCTGAATAGCACTTTATGCTGAAATCTTGTGGACAGTTAGCCTGCACTGATCTTACCTCTTTTTGTGAATGAAGTAGAATGGCTTCTGTCTGTCTTAGAGATATGTTTAGCTTGCTTTTACTGTGCTGGGACGTTATTGTGGCAACAGATGAACACAGAACACGTGTTTTGGTCGACATCATCTTTCTTGTAACTGAAATAATTCCAGATAACTGATGTTGCTTTTCTTTTTGGCAACAAGTCTTAATTTTCTGTGGTTTTCTCTTCTTCGTTAATCATTTTGCAATCGTTGTTGTTGTTACCGGTGTTGTGCCGAGAGACACATGTCCTCTGAGAATTGCATGTACCTCGCAAAACGCGCACCACTTTAAGTAGAGTGGTCCACCCACTCTACTTACCCATACAATTCTTATTTGTGGGGCTTAACAGTGATGAGTAATGTTTCAAAAGTACTTCTCAGTGCGTTTCTCGGCACAACACCGGTAGCACTAGCGACTCGCTCCGTGTGCAGGGGCGTGGTTTCCTCCTCTCTGATTTCGATTGACGGCTGGCAGGGTAGTCTGAGATTGGTGGATGGCTGCACAGCACATGCAGAGTCACATGGAGTGTATCTCAGTCAGCTACTCTTGAAATTAGCTAAGTTCATTTGCATCCAACATCGTAGGTGCTGTGATGTGACTATAGCGCACACCTACATCATGATGACGATGCTCAAACGATATATTGTGCAGCCCTAACTTCCACTTCTCGGTTCTCAAAGTCTTTAGCTTGTTAATACCTGCTCATGGATAGTTTGAAATAGACTGATAGGTTCTGGATACATGTGTAGACAAAGGATTGATAGATAGAAAAATACATAGTCTGTTGATCAGTAGGTAGACAGATGGACTTTCAGATAGATGGATAGATATATATAGGGTGATGATAAACAAGGCAGTGAAGGGTTTACACTCATCGAGTGTTTTTTGGGTTGCTGCAATGTTATCATTTATATTCATCTTGCAGAGTATCACTGTGTGTTTGGAAATGCTCCAAAGACGAATACATCAAAGGAAGAACCATGTGTTCTCCACTGCAGGCAGATCTGATGTTTTGCCTCCTAATTTAGTACCTGAAGATCTACAGAGACGTCTTCTCCTCCGTGTGTGTGTATGTGTGTGTGTCCTTATAAGCGTGAGTGTTTGTGCCCTTGTGTGTGCGCATGCTGTTATGAGTTTGTGAGTGTATCTGTGTTTGTTTTTCATGCATATGTATGTCTGTGGCTGTGTGTTTAATGAGGGAGAGTACTGGAGTTAAGTGTTGTGTTCACAGCTCATCACATTGAGGACAATCTGTTCGATTCCTACATTCGAACCCCTTCGCATCCTGTGCCTTCATCATGAGGTACCCTCATTTTCTCTGTGTGCAGCAGTCAGAACTTGTTCTTAATATTAAATAGAGCTGGAGTTTCTCATGCAGCAGCTGTGGACGGCCCCTTCTCTGCAGTTTTACTCCTTCAAAAAGAATATCCAAAGAGGGGAGCTGTAGCAGAATCGGCAATAGAAACAGCCATGTGCCCACCATTAGCATCTACAACAGTTCCCTTGAGCTATCATCCTCACACGTTTCAAACCGAAGCTAATAAAGGAACAGGACTTTAATGAACCCACATGCTTATTATTCACTAACATGTAATTGGTTTTGCACCCATGGCAACAGCACAACAAACTGCTCTTGTCTTGTGTATCCAGTTTTTTGCTGCAATCCCCCTCTCACAAACACACAATACAATTATCTAATTTGCCTCTGCTTAATCCGTTAAATTAAAAGTTTTAATCATTGTTGGCTCTGATCCTCACACTGGACTCACCTGGACTGTATAGGAATGTTCTTTTTACCTGACCTCATGTAATCACAAGCTTATCTAAATAAGAGTTCAACACTGATTGACGACTGTTGGCAAGTTTTGCAAACTGTGTCCACTTCTGACCATTCAGATTTCGTGTTGTTGCGAAGTCAGATTCACCGGTATATCCAACATGGCCAACCAGCTGATTGTTTACGTGTCGGAGAACAGAGTACTTTTTGATTAAAAAAAAACACAAACATTACAAAGATAACGACCTGAAGGACAACTTGTGGAGAGTCATGGCGTCTGATTTCTCATATGACGATGGTTTGTGTTCTTTAACAGTTTGCTAAACGTCTTTGTTTTAACTTTCATCTGTGCTAATTAACTTTAGCTTGTAAGCTAACCTGTTCAGATACAACATACCATATGTATTTTCACTATTAGGTCTCTGTTGTTACCTTACATTTATGGATTATAGTTTAATGTGTTCATCTGGTACTGGCCCCGACTCAGTACATGCTATCATGACAGACAGACATCTCAACACTAGTGTCTGATCAGAACTGAAAAACAGTCAGTCTGCTGTTGTGTCAGTCTTCTCGCTTCCACCTGGGACACGTCTTTTTCCACCCGGAAAGTCGCAAAATCGCATCGCGCTTGATGTGTATAATCAGGCGCGTCAAAATTTGCGTCCAAATATTTTGTAATTTCATGTCGTATATTTGCGTATTCCCGGAGTGAAAGGACCTTAAGACTGTGTTTTGAAGTTTTAGGGCGGTGTGTGCGTTCAGTTTTAATTCAAACAAGATTGTTGTATGCCTTTTTGGAGTACATACAGAGAGCCCAAATCCAATACAGCATTTTCGTGCTTTTTTTTTTTTTTTTTTTTAAACCACAGGTTGGAACAAAACATCTTGAAACACGTTTCAAAAGTATCCTAACTTCACCTTCTGCGTACTTATGTCCTTAAAATAGAAAAGACTGAACCCTTTTGGAATAAGGGCAGTGACATTTTTTCTAAATTTATTCACAGAGCTCTTCAGAATAATGAATAACAGACGGGTCATGTAAAAAGGTTGGTCATAGTGGAATCAAAAAATAAGATGTGTGATGTGTGATGAGGTTTATTTTGATAACGCCTGGGAAAATGGAGTAATAGTGAATTATGACAACTGCTGAAACGCCAAATCTATCCCTGAGACCTAAAATCACTGACCTCTATGCCTCCCTAGGGGGTAAATATGACAGAAATTATGAGTGAGAGGCAGCAATGTGCTTCGTCATCTTCTGCTGTCTCATAAAAGTGTCTTCAGTCAACACAGAACGACAGCAGACTGCCAACTGTGCGTTATCGACCACATTTTAGACTCCAGTGAAGTCACATTATAGCTATTATGGCATACATGACAGACTGACAGCTTAACAAAATAATACAGTACATCTTTGGCCCATTATGAGCGGTGACAAAAGATAGTTAAATACTGATGATTTGATTGAGGAGAAAGCATAAGGAGAGTCCCATTTGAAGGGACACTTAAACAAATGGTCCACAGTTTAAGACAAGGTTGTTTGATGAGGGGGCCAGAAATACAACACCATGAAAAGAGTCTGATGTGGAATTTGTTTGACAGCATCTGAACCTACAGCAGCTCCCAAAAATACAAAAATCAGAGTATGCAATCAGAGTAGCAAAGTCTGCTAACAAGCTAATCCAAGCCAGGAAATTAACCATTTAGGTACATGTTTGATAACCAGTTTTACATGACTCACTTTGTCATTTGCTTTTATAAAATACTATGCCAACTGCAGATAAGTGAGTAGGTGTATGGTGCTGGCTTAGTGTGTGTTTATTTTTTGTTTGTTAAGCAAGATGGTTCTTTTGTTAGGTTGCTGAGGGACATTTTTCCTCTGTGAGGTCTTTGTGTCTCTTTGACGTTTTGTCGTAAGGCGTTGCACTAGAGAAAGCGGACTGAATGGTCGCCTGTTTCTACTGCAAAGGCGCCATGGGCTCCTTGCTCTGTTTTGGGTTTGTAACCTTTTGCATTGCATGTGCTCTGCCGCGAGGTACTGCTTCAAGTGGTGAAAAAGATTTGAGGTATTCCCCGACTTTGCAAGAACATGTACTCCACATAATTTGCAGTACACATTACTCTGATTTATGTCCGACCTCAAAAAAAAAACAAAATACCTCCACACCATCGACGTTTTCATGCCAGTTTTGTCGATGATGTCGTCATCTGTTGAGTCTTCATCTGTATTTCTGTCGGCTTCATGTGTTAAGGTGCTATGATTGCGTGTAGCTGCAGCCTGCTACTACGCAGCTGTTTGCTACTTGGTTCTTATTCAGCACGATTGGTTCAACTCCACTTTTCATTAGCTGTTTGTATAGTCTACCAAAACATTGCAGAATGCCGACTATCGAAAAGCATATTGAACATGTTTCATATCTATATTGAGCGAAACTAATTAGCGATATATCATTATCGTTTTATCGCCCAGTGACATGAATAACACCTCCATTGGTTCCTGGAAACTTGAACATATGACAAAAGACAAAATCAACTTGATTTTTGTTGCGTCCCATGTGTTTAAATTCAGTGTGTATGTCAGTCAAACTGACACAAGCACCTGTTTATCAAAGATATAAACAAACTAGTCCTAATATACCAAGATATTAAAGAATCATTGTAGTTCATCCAATTGTTTTTAAATGCTCCACAATGTTAGATGTGTAAAGTTTGTAGAACAGCAAACACCACCTGCTCCCACAGAAAACCAAAGCAGGGCTTCCTATCAGTGACATCACTTCCTGGATCCCAGGCCTGCATGTCTGAAGCCCACATCTTGACAGATGGCACCACATTTGCCCAAACATTCGCAACAAAATAGCTTCTGATTCCACCAAAAGGGTGTTGTGCCAAACCGGGATGCTGTGACAAATTCAATGTAAAGCAGTAGTTGGACCGTACGCAGGGGTTAATGTATGTTGATAGACAGCAGACATCAGCACACATAGTAAGTGTCACAATGAGTCAGAAAGTAGCAAAGATTACCCGGAGCATGCCAGAGGCCTTGAGAGATGTCTTATGTAAGAGGTCTCTTACATGAATCACAATAACTTCCAAAGTAATCCACTTAGAAAAGGCAGGAACACTTTACAACAACCATAACTTATAAATGGTAAATCGACCATTTATAAATGGTAAGCAGATAGTTTATTAATGTTTAATTATCATTTATAAATAGAGAATAGACCATTAATAAATTGTAAGTTGTACAATTTTAAAAACCTAACCCTAACACTAACCTCACAATAACTATCTAAGTAATGTTTATAAATGGTTTAAAAACCAAATATTAACTATTTACAAAGTGCTACTGACACACGTTTTAATCTAGTTGTTTTACAACCAATATTTAAACCCTATATTACCTTTAATAAATGGTCAATTAATAGTTATTGATTGTCATTGCTTGTTAATGGTAAAGTAACTATTAACTTACATTAATAAACTATCTATTTATCATTTATAATTGCTCTATATGCTGTTTTGAAATGATGATTAAACACTAATAAACTAGTTATATTTATAAATTATGGTTATTGTAAAGTCAAAGTCAATTTACTGTCAAATATGCTATACAGAATAAACAATAAACTATATGAATAAAACTATAAAGGTGTAAATATAGAATAAACAACTAAGTGAAACAAAAGACTACCTTAAATACTCTCAATTTACAAAATATAGATAACAATATAAACAGCATAACAGTATAGTGTAACAGTAGGAAGAAGGTGAGTGGAAGAAAGTGAATGGAAACAGTATGGCAGTCCTGAAGTGGACATAATAGTGCAAATATGACAATATGGAGGCAACAGTGCAAATAAATGTAATACAGTTGTAATAATGGTGCAATGACTGGGGATAAAGTGAAACAAAGTGTGACCGAAAAGGCTGTATTGAAACTATTATATGTTTATAACTCAGCTAAATGACACTAAACTAGAGCAACAGATCATACCTTCAAACCGAACTTCACAATCGAAACTCACATTTTTTTCCTGATTCTTTTAGAAGTGTTGCTTCATCCTTTACATCTTATTAAGACACAAGCACTGAAGCATAGTTTGTCAAATCCATAACCTGCCAATATAACTCAAACCAAGGTACAGGGAGACTAGGGGTAATGTTTACTCAGGCATATTGTGAATGCTACTTGGGCATACAATTAAGAGATGCACAGGCCTGACAGTGGAGGCTGGGCAGGGAGCCCTGTGCTTGCCATCAGCATGACGGTGATTGAACGTCGACTGATTTATCTGCGTCCATTTTTCACCCTCGAGCAGCACAAGACGAAAGCGGCGAAAGGAGCCTAACCATCCGTCCCTTTCTTGACTATTCTTATCTCAATGCTCGGGAATAATGTCGTCCTGACAGCGACAACTAAAAGAGCTTCTTTCAACAAACTTCAATCTTTAAACCTAAACACCTTTAAGCCGAAATGGCAGCTGCTTTTAGCCTCTTCAAGACCCCCTATCCCCCCTCTACCCATATGTGTTATTCTTGTCCTTATTGTGCCTTTACTCTTGCATTCTCTTTGTGATTGTCTGCCATTTTGAAATCTTTTTTTTATTATTTTCAATACGTTGTATGAAATGTACCCCCCTATTTATGCTCGAGTTAGCTTAAATACAAGCGGTGAATGTTTGCATTCAGCCTCACACCACATCTGACTCCTTCAATAAAGAGGCTTTGGCTCTTAGAATAGACTTGATCCTTCAAGATAGCTTAGCAGCGACTATATGTAGCCTTAGCTTGAAGCAAATTAGCCTGCCACTATGCTATTTCTATAGAGAGAGAGGGGGGAGAGAGAGGCTGGGCTTTAACTGTCATTGCATAAATGTGTATCTTAAAAGGAAAATGCTCGATATTGAATAACCGTTTAACCGTTGAAGATAAAATGCTGTCCGTGCCTATTCGTCGCGTTTGTTTCCTGTCAAAAAAACAGACTCGAAATCTCCCACTTTGCCTACCTAAATAAAAAATGAAACCACACTTCCATATTGAATCTCTATAAACATCTTCCAATTGTATATCTTATTTTCTGCCCAAAACGGAGCTCCCCACAGCACTCCAACCTCCACTAACGGCTGGTTTGTGTTGGTATTTGAGATAAAGCGACGCACATTTAGACGTTATAAAAAGAGAATAAATGCTAACCGAAGTAGCCGATATATACAGACAGTTTTAGAGGAAATATCCGGCGGTTATGTCTTACCTTGTAGGCAGATTAACGACTATAAACACCCAGAGAAAGAGCTTCAGTGGGAGGGAAGGCTTCGCCATTGCTGTCGAGCTTTTGGAGGCTAAATTTGGTGAAGCCATCATCATCATCCTCCTCACCATCTTCGTTTCCTCTTTAGTACAGATGGACGTGTCCGTCTATTTACTGTGTTTCCTCTCTACGATACATTACGCACGTTAGCGGGAGCGGGTCTGCAAATCTAGACCCGAGGCGGACGTGCGGTGGAGTGAGATCAGGCTTGACAAAAATCGGTGAGCTTGGTCTCGTTGGAGCTCGTCCTTTTTTTTTTTCTTCCGACAGCCTAGCAAGGGGGCCCGTAAAGAAGACTGCCACAGACGGCGAAGCCCCCCCTTTGTAATAATAAGCCACAGTGAAACCGAGCAGCTGAGAAAAAAGCAGTGGAGCCTCAGTCTGAATGCAGATTAACGCTGGGGTCAGAGAGAAACTGATGCACGTTGCTGCAGCACGGATCAACACATGCGTGGTTTCAGCGAGCGGAAGCAGGGGAGCAGAGAAGATTGAGAAAATACTGATGTTGTTGCTACAGGAAGAAATGGAGGATTTATTATCTTTATTTTTATTGGTAGGGAGCATGGTAGGATAGGGGAGACCGGGGCTTGTTGTCACAGTTAAAGCCATTTGTGCACTACTGATAATTTGACAGTTAATTTATGTTTTTTGTTCTTTCACATTTTTTGTTATTTATCCTGATTATAACTTGAGAGACTGAACAATTGTATACTTTTACTCTTATGTTTCACTGAGGCCAATTACTACTGTCCTATGAGGTGTTGCAGCGCCGATGTCAGCATGGGGGGGCGTGGTGCGTAAAGGTCCTTGCACACCAGGAACGACGCAAACATACGACGCAAAATTACAAAGTATTCTGAGGCGAATTTTGACGTGCCTGACTATACATATCAAGCCCGATGTGATGTTGCGACTTTCCAGGGGGAAAAAAGACGCGTCCCGAGATGGCTGTCTGGGGGGGCAACCGCCATTCCGACATCCCACCATGAAATGTCAGAGTGGCAGCGTGTAACCGGCTGTCTGTCATAATAGCATGTACTGAGTCGGGGCCAGTACCAGATAAGCACATTAAACTATAATCCATAAACGTAAGGTAACAACCAAGACCTAATGGTGCTGTGACAGCAACGCGATTGAGTTTGAGACAGTGAAAATACATACGGTATGTTGTATCTGAACAGGTTAGCTTACGAGCTAAAGTTACTTAGCACAGATGAAAGTTAAAACAAAGACGTTTAGCAAACTGTTAAAGCACACAAACCATCGTCAGCTGAGCACTCTGTTCTCCGACATGTAAACAATCAGCAGGTCGGCCATGTTGGATATACTGGTGAATCTGATGTCACAACAACACGCAATCTGATTGGTCAAGAGTGGACACACAGTATGCGAAACTTTAGAAAATTCGACATGGTACGAAAAAATTAATGCCACAATATCGCGGGACGGGAAAAGTCGTTGATGTGACAGGTATTGTACTGACAGGATACGGGTTCGAAAAAAATATTGACGTCCGAAATAATCGCACCAACTATTTACTAGCTGACTACATAGTAACAGAGAACGGAATAGCGAGAGCAAAACTTGGACTCAACATACTGTACAGGGACAAGCTGGACAATGAAGAAAGAGTGTTACCTAAGCAAAATTGCAGACATTGCTGGACTCGACCCATATGAACACATTGTATGGTCAGAAGATGCTACCACCACTTAACCGAGTGCATTTGACGCAGTACCTCATCGGAGGAACAAGCTATTATACATTTAATTCCATCCATAATGAGAAGCCTTTCTTGGCCCACGTTTTTTTCACATCTGGGTGGGTACACAAACTGCAGATGCACAGTGTCAACAATAAAACCGTTGCTCGCACAATGGTAGGTGATCACACACAAACACATCTGCCTGTCTCTCTCTCTCTCTCACACACACGCACAAACCCTTGAACATATTATTATGTACTAAGGTACTGCATCAAATGCACTCAGTTAAGTGGTGGTAGCATCTCCTGACCATACAGTGTGTTTTGCTTAGGTAATGCTCTCTTTCTTCATTGTTCAGCTTGTCCCTTTACGGTATGTTGAGTCCAAGTTTTGCTCTCTCTATTCCGTTACTGTGTAGTCAGCTAGTAAATAGTTTGTTTTTAATACTTAACACCATTCTAATTTCATCCATTCCAATGCGCTTAGTGTTGTTATGTCTGTCAAAATGGCTGCGCTGGCACATTATGCACCACGCCCCCCATGCTGACGTCAGCGCTGCTCCACCTTATTGGAGGAGACATGTCATGTGAGACCTGTGGGTTTTTCTTGAGTAATTAGTGCAGCTATGGTTCTTTGAGAGCACAATAGTTTTTGACTGTTCACATCAGGTCTCGATTTCGTCATTATCAGTGTATGGCTCACAAAATGAGAGCCAATGGGGTCCCTAACAGGTTAATAAGGAGGTGGCACACCACATAGAAGGGTTTTAGACAACTGCAAGTTGCACTAATGTCCACCTAGAGTGCAGAAAAGAAACTTCATGAATGATATCACTCAACTTTTCAAGAGGATTGTGTTTCTGTGTGTGTGATCCTCAATGCCACATAGATCCATCCGGAATCCTAAATGAGCCGTAGCTATAAATCCAGTCCAGTCACGCTTTCAGCACCTTGGACAGCTCTATTAGTTTCATCTGCATTACAAACCACCAATCAGCACCAAGGACAGCTCCAGACTGCCTTCTGCTGCTTAAATCAGAGGAATAGTTGCCCATACAGCACATCCAATGAAACTGTAAAGAAATAGATGACTTTGTCAGCTCAAAATAGAGCTCACAAATCTGTGAAACTAACAGTGTCGATCATTTTGCATGTCAATTGGTTGTTTGACTGAAAGAGGTTGAATGCAAAGTTTTATACAGGCAGCATGCTCAATTTTTCAATGATAAGTGTCATTTTTTGTATTCATATTGCATGTTTTGAAACCAATCAAAATATAGTTCCCTCTGATTTGTGTTGTCCTTCAGTGCTCTGGTACTCATTTTGAGATCCTTATGTAAGTATGCTAATTCCCCTGCTTTGGTGGGCTGTAACTTATTTCCAAGGACTCCTTGAGGGAAAGTTTGAGGAGAAAAATATATATTCATAATCTGAAATACACAATAGTAGCCTGTCCCACACTGTCTCATAAATTACTGTTATAATGGTGGTATGTTTCCACCTCCCTTTCTTCCACCTCTCCATCCAGACACACATATTATCCACATGGAAAGTTTTATAACGACTTTAAATGCTACCTCAGTAAATAAGGATAAGTTGAGTGATTTCAGTCAAAATCTGTGCTTATAATGGTTGTGTGGGATGTCACTAACATGTGTAAGTAGGCCATGTGTCCTGCACCTTCTGTTTTCATTCAGGGACTTATGTATGCTACTTTTAATGACAGATTGTAACAATTCATTAAGGAGGCACTAAAAGAAGATAATGGAGGCAAAACAGGTCAATCAATCAAACTTTATTTTTAAAGCACTTTTCATACATGGAATGTCACACAAAGTGCTGTCCATTCATGCAGGATATTAAAAAAACAATGAAATAAAATAAATAAAAATACAAATACCAAACCCCACCCACTCTCCCAATCCCCATTCAACATATACAGCACTCACACACTCACACACATAGATGCATACACAAAAGACCACAGAATCAGAAGGGGTTTTATTGCCATTGTCAATGAACAGGATTCACAGACTAGGAATTTTTTACAGCGTGGTGGTGCAACATTAAACAGAGAATAATATATAAAATACTAGAATAAAAACTAATAAGAGCATGCAGGACATATATAAAGTATAAAAGGCTATGTACAATGCTATGTACAGTAAGTCATCTTCTAAAAAAGTCATCTTCAGAAAAAAGTTGTCACCAATACAAGTATTCTTCTTCAATGATGTTAAAAAAGCAAACAAAGAAATGCAGAAAATGGATCTTATTTGTAACAAAAGGGGAGTATAACAGTGAGCACAAGGTGTGGTGAAAACAATCAGGCGCCTGCAGAAGCATTGTCTTGTCATGCTGCATTAGTCCAAATTCCCCCCTGAACGTTAATCCCACAGGCATACATGCACCGAACATGGTGCACTACTACTTTTTATTGTCCCATGAGGCCACAGTCATGTTGCACCATGTTTTCACATCACCAGGGCCTCATAAAGTCACTCACTTTTGAAACGATAAGCAGCCATTGTCTCGTTTCTGTTTTTAAACATAAGTTATTCAGAATTTACCGTAGCAATCAGAGTTGATTGAAGCTGTTGGCGCCTAAGTGTGACGTGCATGGAAGATGAGGTGTGTCTGATTTGAAAACACCATCATGTGTTTATTAAAGACAGGAGAGGCTCGGCGCAGGTTAATCATCTTAAGGAAATTGATGAGCCATCAGCCATGCAGCGCTCCTCTAAGCAGAGTTAACCGGCATATGTTCCTGAATAAAGCAGAGAGGAACTTTGCTCTTACAGTTCAAATCAACTCTTATTTTCAGTTTGCATATTCTCTCATACCTTTTTTGTACTGGCTATTTGGCTATTAAATATGTCAGGTTTTGCGATGGTTATCATGTAGTCACTTGTCAGTTTCAAAGTGTATGTTAGTAATTGTTGCCCACTGTGGACAAAGAGATACCCCTTATGTTTTGTCCTGTACATGTTAAACTGCAGTTTTTAACCAAAACATCATCCAGTTGTTATTTAATGGTGAAATATTTATCTCTCTGTAAGCAACAGGCTGCTGTCAATCACCTGCTCCAACACCTGCCCCCTCACATCAGTTTTGGGAATCAAAAAAATACAACAGAAAAATGATCAGCCTTGATGCTGCTGCTTTTGTTTGCTTTTGAAGCTCATAAAGAGGCATTAGTATCCATTTCAGTCTGTTTCTCTCAATTAAAACTCCTCAAAGTGCTTTTAAATAGTCTCTTACACCTAAATACTTTTGTATGGCTTCTTTCAGGTAAAGTGTGACTCTAAAGGTTTACAGTATTTAAATACAGGAATGTGACTGAAATCAGCATCCATGTAAAGGCCCAAATGATAAAAAATATATATATCAAGAGGGACATCAAGCTGAATTTTAAGGTATACATTTCTTTTTGAAATAATGACAATTTGTCAAATTTTCAAACCTATGCAGGAGCAGTATGTCACTATAGCTTTAAAACATTGCATCATTTAATCTCCCCACTCTCGTAAATGATATTAGAGTAGAGGGGACATTGACACTATAAATATATGACTGGATCTATGATAATTATGGCCACAGTTTTTGCAAAAATACTTGAAATCGTCCTTGTTGTTGCAGACGCATAAATCCAGCCACAGCTCATAACCTACAAATTAAACATTTCAAACCAAGGAAACACACAACCACAAACACATTCGGACATACACACACTCACTTTGCCAATATCACTCGGT